GGGTCGTTGGTGTAGGATTTTTTGCTGTTTTCTACCAGTTTCATTCAGAGGGAAGCCAGTGAAGACCCCCTACTAGGGGGCGGAATAAACCGCAGTAAACTCGGTGGAAGCGGTGGGGTGCTTGGCAGGTCTAAGACGGAATGGACGGAGCTGGGGTTGGGCACGGTGGTTGAGACCCGCTGGGGGTGTCTGCAGCCTATGTTGGAGCGCCTGAGCTCAAGTCCTGTCCACTCTGCTGATCCGGCTTTCTGCTAATGAGCACCCTGGGGAGGCAGCAAGTGGTGGCTCAAGTACTTGGGTCCCTGCCCTCCCCCACATAAAAGGCCCAGAGGGAGTCCTGGGCCAGCCTTGGCTGTGGCAGGCACTTGGGGAGTAGACCCGTGGATGGAAGACCTCTGTCCCTCTAAAGAGAGAAAAATTTTAGAAGACCAAGGGCTATTTCCTTCAGACAACTCCAAAATATTCCCCAGGGTGGATTTCCTAGTGAGAAGATGAGGAAAAAGACAGCGGGCAGAGTGTGCAAAGCTACACGTGTGCAAGCGGTCTTCAAAAAGTTCATGGGAACCCATGTTGTGAAAAGACTAGGCACAGGTTTCAGCGTGTTCTGGCCCCGAGCACTCGGGGTGAACCAGTGAAGGGGAGCTGAACTGTTTCTTAAATCAATTTTATTTAAAGAGATGGTGGTTTTGGTGCAAAACGTTTTTGAGGAGCCCATGTTGTGAGTGGGTTAAGCTGCCATGGTGGGGTAAGTTGCCACTCACAACACTAGCGCCCCTATAGGGTGCCAAGTCCAGTCCCAGTTGCTCTGCTTCTGATCCAGCTCCCTGCTATTGCACCTGGGAAGGCAGTGGAAGATGGCCCAAGTCACTGGGCCCCTGCCACTCGCATGGGAGACCAGGATGGAGTTCCTGGCTACTGGCTCAGACCAGTTTGTTGTGGTCATTTGGGGAGTGAACCAGCAGGTAGAAGGTTGATCTCTCTCTCTCTCCCTTCCTCCTTCCCTCCCTCTCTTTCAAATAAGTCTTTGGGGAGAAATGTTGAAACCAATGCATAGAGGTTTTTTTTGTAATATGCACTTTTCATAAACATTTTGGAGATATTTCCTATGCAGAAAATTCTATTTTTTTGCACTGATAAAAGATAAACTTATCTTTTGGTTTCACTTTCCATAAACTTTTTTTAAAAAAATGCCTATTTTCTTCTGTTTGCCTTCAGATGAGTGGCGTGCCCAAGCCGCCCAGGCCAAGTGTTTGCTGCGAGGTTGCATGCTAACGTGCTATGAGGAAGGCACCCTGTCGGCCCTGTGTTTCCAAGTGGAGGGAAGCAGTAGCCGGGCAGCTGGGAGGGCCGTTACTTCTCTGGCCTAACCCGGCCCCCGACACCTGGCAGCTTGGCTCGGCCCTTGCACCTGCCAGGGCCCCATGGGTGGCGAGGAGAGAGATCTCTGGGATATGGCTGGCCATCCTAGGCAAAGATGGAGCTCATTAGGAGTAACCTAGCTGGACATAACTTAATTTTCGTATCTGTAATTGAATCTCTCTCATTTCCCCTGGCTTCTTGGATCCTTTCTGGATTTAATGATGTCTTCATGATAAGTCAGTGTCTTACTTAAACCTTCTTGGAACGGGCTGAGCCTCTCCCATGTTTTCATTACCCTTTGCCCTTGGACCCCAAGAGTCATCCTGTCGATGACTCTTGTCGGTCTCATTGGGATCTTGTAGTTCTTCTACGCCCCACTTTTTGAAGATTTTATTTGAAAGGCAAAGGGAGGGAGGGAGGGCTCAATCTTCTGTCAACTTGTTTAGACCCCAAATGGCCACAACGGCCAATGGCAGGAGCCTGGGACTCCACCTGGATCTCCCACATGGGTGCAGGGGCCCAAGCACTTGGGTCATCTTCCGCTGCTTTCCCAGGGGCATTAGCAGGGAGCTGGATCAGAAGTGGAGCAGCTGGGTCTCGAACCGGCACTCTGATATGGGATGCCAAGGTTGCAGACAGCAGCTTAATCTGCTGTGCCACAATGCAGGCCCCTCCCACGCTCTTCTAAAGATGTGCTTCAAACAGTTCAAGGAAAGCCAAAGATTGATGCAAAACAGTTGAAACCCATCTATCCCAGAGGTCACTTCGCATGGATTTCAAAGTGTCTCTGCATCAAAATAAATTTAATGTTTCCATTGTGAAATGAGCCAGCTAAAAAGTCTAGATAATAGAATTGGGATATTGGGAAACAAAACTCCAGTCTGAAGGGGATGGGGTGTGCTTTGGTCCTCCATGCTAAAAACCATTGTCATGTTCCCATTTGCAGGGTTGGTCAAATCTCTCGGGGCTGAAAGTCACACAGGCTCCTGGGGCTGCCTGCGCAGTCTCTAAGAGCAGATTGGAAAGAAGTCTGTGTCCTCCACCCTCAACAACCTGACCACAGCAAGGTCACTGGGTGCAGCCCCGGATGTGGTCGCAGACCCCAGCCCGCCCCCAATAGGAAGGGTGCTCGCTGGTTCCAGGAAGCAGATCACTCTGTCGCTCATGACCCCGCTACCTGTATCAGTGATAACAGAAAGGAGGGCTCGGAAGAGCACACACGGGGCCTGGCCCTGCTCCAAGAGCATTCCACGGTTCCCATCAAACCGACAAGCCTGCGACGTGGGTGTGGTGATGACTCCATCGTACCCCGGATTGGGGGGACATGAAGGGAGCCTCCCAAGGTTATAGCACCAGGAGGCAACACAGAAGGAAGAGGAACCTGGATGCTCCTGCTCCAAAGTCCTTGAACTTAATCACCATGCCACCTGCTTCCCTTATGAAATATAAGCTGTAAAATGGGAACAGTTGGAATCCCCAAAATATCATTTGATCCTACATGTCTTATTTTCAACCTCAGGGGGCTGGGCAGTGCAGGGAGACATCTGGTGGACCTCTGGGTTTTTGTAAAAAAGCTTTTTATTGTAGAAAATGTTTTCTATATACAAAGTAAACAGTAGTATAATAACCCACACCTATCACCTGGCTTCAGCTCCTAACATTCTGCCCTCCTTTTATTTGTACCTCTTTCCTCTGTCCCTTCCTACTCGATGATTTTTTTTTTCAAATAAAATTTAAAAAGGTTGAAATGCACAAAATTGTCAGCACTTATCCTGGCAGATTGAATCGCCCGTGTAACTCACAGCCCCATCAAGCTGCGGACAGTTTCCATCACCCCCAGAATGTCCTTTGCCCACACCCCCCCCACACACTGCCCCCAGCTGGGCAACAATTGTGATTTTTTTTTTCACCGTAGATTAGTCTTGCTTGTCCTAGAATTTCATAGAAACGCGATCGTACAGTATGGGCTCTTTTGTGGCTGGGTGCTCTCAGCATCAAGTCTGTGAGAGTCCCCACGCCATTGTGCGTGCCATTCTTTCTCCTTTGTGGCTCTGTTGGTTCTGTCACACAGATGCTCCTCGTCCATTCGCCACTTGATGGGGATTTGGATCCTTTCCAGTTCGGGGTCCTTTACAACAAAGTTGGGCATGAGTGGAACTTCATGTTCAAGTCGTCTTGTGGATAGATGTTTACACTTCTCTCGTGTAGATACTTAGAAGTGGAATTTCGGCATCAAAGGATAAAGGCACAGTTAACTTCATTAGAAACTGCCAGGCTTTTACCCCCGAGTGACTGGATACCTCCACGTTCCTGCCAGCCGCCACGAAGTGCTCTGTCTGCCCCACGCCCTGGCCACTGTGTGGCGTTGCAGTTCTTGGTAATTTTAACCATTCTGGGATTTTAATTTGCATTTCCTTGATGACTAAGTATGATGAGCATTTTTTCTAAGTACTTTTTAATCATTTGTCTTCCTTTATGAAGTGTCCATTCAACTATTTTCACTGTGTTTGTTTTTTTCTTATTGAGCCATAGGGCTCTTTTATTCTGGATCTTTTGTAGGTGTATATTTTGCAAATAGTTCTTGGAGTCTGTGGCCTGCCTACTCACTTTTTTTTTTTTTTTAAGATTTATTCATTTATTTGAAAAAGAGAAAGTTTCCATTCACTGGTTCACTCTCCAAATACTTACAGCAGCCAGGGCTGGGCCAGGCCAAAGTAAGGTGCCAGAAAGTCCATCCAAGTCTCCCACATGAGTAATAGGACCCCAAGCACTTGGGCCATCACCTGCTGCCTCCCAGGTACATGGCAGGAAGCCAGATCAGAAATGGAGTAACCAGCACTCAACCCCGGACTCTGATGGGATCCAGGTGTCCAAAGAGGGGAGAGGGGCTTAATCCTCTGGACCACAACGCCCACCCCCCCATTCATTTTTAAGTGTCTTCTGATGAGAGTTTTATATTTGATGAAACCTAATTTCTTTTATAATTTTTCCCCCTGAATCCTAAGAAAGCCTCACCTCTCTCTGGGTGCAAAGACAGTCCCCTCCACTTTATTTTGGTAGTTGTGTACATTTTCCATTTACATCATGTAAAGGTCTAAGCTACATCTCAAGTGAATTTTTATACATGAACACACACAAGGGGTCTTCAAAAAAGTTCATGGAAAAACCACATAATTCAAAACTCTTGTGCACCAACATCATCTTTTAACTCTCTTTTGTTTTTGAAAACCTGCAGTCCGCAGCACTGTAGCACAGTGGTCAGCGTTGTCGTAGCTAAGCAGAATTAAACGTGGGGACGGCGCAGTGAAGACACGAAGCAGTGGGGACTTTCAGCTCCACTGTAATCTTATGGGATCGCCATGTGGTGTGAGGGGACTGGCTTCCCTGAGACATTAGGCCGTGTGTGTGTGTGTGTGTGTGTGTGTGTGCCTTATGGTCATCCCGTATCCCTCACCAGGTTATAAACCCTAAATGAAGCCCTCCTGTTCTAATCTCAGCTCTCCTCTCCTGGAGTTTAGCTTCTTGTTATCCCCACGACTGGACACGCAGGAGACTTGACCGACTCGTAGGTAGCTCCGTGCGTCAGACGCGTGGCGGGAACTGCCCCGCAATCAGCTGAGTTCGGTTCTGTGTGCCGCAGGAGGAGGAGGCGAGGAGGCGGCACATCCGTCTGCACATGGAAGGGGCGCTGACCGCCCGGGACAAGGTCGGCGTGCAGGACTTCGTGCTCCTGGACGCGCACACCAGCGAGTCGGCCTTCGTGGAGAACCTCCGCAAGCGGTTCAGCGAGAACCTCATATACGTAACGTAACCCGTTTCTCGGCTGCTTCTGCACAGTGTGTGTGTCCTTTCTGACGGCTGTGCACAATGTCACTCGGCTAGGTGCGCCGTGACCCTCCGTGGCGGCCACAGAGGAAGACCCGCCTTCACACTGGCCCGAGCCACAGAGGGACTTCACTGATGGGGGCAGCTGTGGGGCCCCGGCATCGATCCGGGCTCTCCAGGGCTGTCTGTAGGACTCTGCTCCCTCTGTCGGGATCTCTTTAGAGCACCAGCTTCCTTCTCCCGCAGCCTCTCTGCCCGGTGGCAAGATGGGTACCAGCAGAGGCAGATCGCATTGGATCTGCTCTCTGTTGTTACTGAGGTGGGAGGACATCTTCCCAGAATGCAGTCCTAGCAAATGCCCCGGCACTGACGTCGCTCTGCTCTGATTGGCCCATCTTGGGTCACGTGCTGACCTCGGACCAATCAGAAAGAGGAATGTGCAGACTGCCCTGGAGGGGTCAGCCTGGTGTCCAGGGGCAGGGTCACAGTCCAGCCAATTGGACTGGAGCTGGGGAAGAGAGCTTCTCCAGGAATCTCTTGAAAGAAGGAGGAACAGGTGCTAGCCCCGCAAGGTAAGAGTCTGCCCTTACCCCTCAGCCTTCACGGTCGACCTAGAGCATCTCGTTGAGCTGTTCTCAAACTGAACTTGACGTAGTCATCTTTAAAAATTTTTTTAAATTTTCCATTGATCAATTCTGTCAATTTTCAGGTAAATTCATAGTGTCGCAGGGCTTGTCATGGGATGGCATTAAAATTATTTTCTATTTTTGAGCTTTTATTAGCTTTTACTAAGTAGCTTTATACAAACGTTTTATAGCCATTGTATCTGTAATGGTGCCTGTGACCTTCTGCATGGCAACCAAGGATATCGGAAGAGATAAACAGGCTGCGTCTTAGAGAATACACGAGGGGACTTCCCAGAAGTTCACAGAAGACAGAATTAAAAGAAAGCTCTAGTTTTGGTGCAAAAAGTATTTTTAAATCCATGCATATGAGAGCTCTTCAGATAGTTCATGGAAACTGCTTTACTGGGGGAGACCTGCGTGGATTTCTATTTTGGGGGCACCAAAATAAAATTAATTCCATTTTTTTCACAAACGTTTTAAAGTTTTTTTTGGAACCCATAGTTGAGCTTTCAGAATTATCACCCTGGGCTGTAGAAACAGGAAAATGCCAAACTAACATTCTGTGTAAGCAGAGGGGAAATGATGTACAGTGAGGTGCGAACGGGATGATGGGAGCATCGTGGCTAAGCTAAATGTTCGAGCTGAATCTGATAAATTTCAGAAGCTCTTTTCTACCCTGGAAAAACCAGATTTCTATGGAGAATTTTAGCCAAAATCATCTTCTCTGTTCTAATTCTCTGATTTTTGTCCTAGAGGTTGGAAACATTATTTGGAAAAATTTGAACATATTCTTTTTTTAAAAAAAAATTTATGTACATTTGTGTTTATGTATTTATTTAAAAGAGTTACAGAGAAGAGGGAGAAATGGCACTTTCATCCAATGGTTCACTCTCCAGATGGCCACAATGGCCAGGACTGAGCCAAGTTGAAGCCAGGAACCAGGAACCAGGAGCCAGGAGCTTCATCCTGGTCTCCCACGTGGGTGGCAGGGCTCCAAGGACCTGGGCCTTCTTTCAGTGCTTTTCCCAGGCCATCAGCACAGAGATGGATGGGAAGTGACGCAGCTGGGACTCAAACTGGCGCCCATATGGGATGCTGGCATGACAGGCAGTGGCCTTACCCACCATGCCACCACAGTGCTGGCCACTCAGCGTCATCTTGATGGAGGCCTTAGTAACCCAAGGATTTGAAACCACAACAAACTCAGGATCTGAAAATATCAGTTGTTCAAAAGAGCCTAGCTGTTTATATTTTCTTTTTTTTATTAAAGATTTATTTATTTATTTGAAATAGTTACACATAGAGAGAGAGAGAATCTTCCATCCAATGGTTCACTCCCCAGTTGGCCGCAATGGCCAGAGCTGCGCCAAGACGAAGCCAGGAGCTTCTTCCAGGTCTCCCACGTGGGTGCAGGGGCCCAAGGACTTGGGCCATCTTCTACTGCTTTCCCAGGCCACAGCAGAGAGCTGGATCAGAAGTGGAGCAGCCAGGACTAAAACCGGTGCCCATATGGGATGCTGGCTCTTCAGGCCCCGGGGCGTTAACCCACTGTGCCACAGCACCGGCCCCGCTATTTATATTTTCTATGGGAGAACTTGGAGCTCTGTGTTGATTCATAACCATGTTCCAAGAAATCTTATGTTAGTGTTTCTATTACAAATATAAGGCTATTTCAAAAGCTCATAGAAAAATGCATATTATAGAAAAACTGAGCATGGACTTCAAAATCTTTTTGCACCAAAAGACACTTATTTTTTAATTCCATCTTCCCATGAACTTCCTGAAGTACCCTCGTGTATGTACTGGAAAACTTGAAGATGAGTAGGGTCCAGTGCTGAACTCTGGGAAAATAAACGCCAGCCTTCTCTTTTCCTAACGACTCCTCTAAGTCTCTGCTCAGATGCCACTTCCTCCCAGCAGCTGCCCCGCGCTAACACCTGTGTGTGTGTCCTCCCTTAACCATGCATGTCCTCACACTGTGAGAGGGAGGTCCTCGCTGCCTTACCTATTGCTTTATGTCCCAGCACTCGGCGAGCGCCTGGGCATCCTAGTGAGTGACAGCCTTCTGCATCCCGGATTCCTCACTCGCGCTGTGCTCTGTTCCCCCAGACGTACATCGGAACTCTGCTGGTGTCTGTGAACCCGTACCAGGAGCTCGGACTCTACTCTGTGAGCCAGATGGAACTTTACCAAGGGGTCAATTTCTTTGAACTGCCGCCGCATGTGTAAGTGGCACCCACAGGGCCACCACTAGGAGTACTGTCCTGTGTGTGTTCCTCTTGTTCTCTTTTTCCTTTCCCCTTCCCTTCCTCCCGTCTACCCACCCACCCACCCATCCACCTATCTCCCCCTCCACCCACCCACCCATCCATCCATCCATCTCTGCCTCCATCCACCCATCCATCCATCTACTCACCCACCCACCCATCCACCTATCTCCCCCTCCATCCACCCACCCATCCATCCATCCACCCACCCATCCACCCATCCACCCACCCACCCATCCACCCATCCATCCACCCACCCACCCATCCATCCATCCATCCATCCACACATCCACCCAAATCCTGTTACGTGTTCATTCAGTAGCTTCTGCATTCTCGTTGCATGTTTGCTAACGTGTTGTAGATTCATCATCGTCTTTGAGATTAGTATTTCAAGGCAGCAGAAATAAGTAGGTCATCACAGGACCTCAGCTTAAATAAGACAGAAACGTGAGCGTGTGCAAAGGCTGAGACACACAAGAGGGTGGCTAGAGAGGCGACTTCTCTGGGAAATGGAATGTTGTAGTGCCATCTACTGGTGCCCGAGTGTCATGGCGGCTAAGAAAATGCCTATGAGAAGTTAGCAGGGCTGTGGGGCTTCACCGTGACCCCTGTCCAGCTGGGTCTCTGTGACTTAGGCTTTGCTGAGTTCCCCGTGCTCCTCCCAGGCTGACTTCCGGATCAGGATGTAGGCTCTGCCTTCGTCGGCCTTCCACTCCTGCACCCTCCGCTGTGCAGTCCCGCACAGCCGGCTTCCAACCTCGCGGCCTCCGTGCTGCGGTTGCTGCTCTTGGAGACGGAGCGCCGAGGATAGTTCTCCCTCGTGTTCTGAAGGGATCTCGGACGTGTTGGAATCGCTTTGCTTTCCTGCCTCTGTGTTCTAAGAGCTCCGGGTTCCGAAGGAAAAAGCAGGCGTGAGATCTGACTGTGCTCTCTGCGTTGTTCAGCACTTGGGCAGGACGTCATTTCTGCCTGCAGTAGAACATCTCTTGGGAGCTGGTGCCGCGGCTCACTAGGCTAATCCTCCGCCTTGCGGCGCCGGCACACCGGGTTCTAGTCCCGGTCGGGGCACCGGATTCTGTCCAGGTTGCCCCTCTTCCAGGCCAACTCTCTGCTGTGGCCAGGGAGGGCAGTGGAGGATGGCCCAAGTGCTTGGGCCCTGCACCCGCATGGGAGACCAGGAGGAAGCACCTGGCTCCTGCCATCGGATCAGCACGGTGTGCCAGCCGCAGCGCACCGGCCGCGGCGGCCATTGGAGGGTGAACCAACGGCAAAGGAAGACCTTTCTCTCTGTCTCTCTCTCACACTGTGCACTCTGCCTGTCAAAAAAAAAAAAAAATCTCTTGGGGATACATGTCTGGGCTTGTTCTTTTTAAAAAAAGAATTATTTTACTGATTTGAAAGGGGAGAGTTGGGAGGGAGTGGGGGAGAGTGCCCCAATGCCCGTAACAGCTGGGGCCGATCCGGCTGGGCCAGATCAAAGCCAGAAGCTAGGAACTCTATTTGGGTCTCCCACTTAGGCGACAGGACCCCAGTTGCTTGAGCCGTCCCTTATACATTAGCAGGAGGCTGGAATCAGGAGCAGAGCTGTCACTTAAACCCAGGCACTCTGATAAGGGATGCAGGTGTCTTTAAAAAAAAATTTATTTGAAAGGTAGAGTTACAGACAGAGGCAAAGAGAGGTCTTTCATCTGCTGGTTCACTCCCCAGATGGCCACAACAGCCAGAGCTGCGCCAATCCTAAGCTAGGAGCTTCTTCTTCCGGGTCTCCCACACGGGTGCAGGGCCCAAGGACTTGGGCCATCTTCTACTGCTTTACCAGGCCGCAGCAGAGAGCTGGATCAGAAGTGGAGCAGCTGGGACTCAACAGATGGGATGCCGGTGCTGCCAGCAGTGGCTTTACCTGTTATACCACAGTGCCAGCCCCCCAAGTGGTGTCTTAACTGCTAGGCCAAACGCCCATCCTAGTACCTGGCTTACTTTAAGAAATACTGATGGATGTTTTAAAAAACTAATTTGGTAAATTTTGAAAAAAAAAAATTTAAGATTTACTGATTTGAGAGGCAGAGGCAGAGAGTGCAAGTGAGAAAGAGAAGTCTTCCATCTGCTGGTTCACTCCCCAAATGGCTGCACCAGCTGGAGCTGGGCCGATCTGAAGCCAGGAGCCAGGAGCTCCTTCTGGGTCTCCCATGTGGGTGCAGGGGCCCAAGGACTTGGGCCATCTACTACTGCTTTCCCAGGCCATAGCAGAGAGCTGGATCAGAAGTAGAGCAGTGAGGATTCAAACCGGTGCCCGTATGGGATGCTGGCGCCACAGGCAGTGGCTTAACCTGCTACGCCACAGCACTAGCCCTGAACAAAATACTTTCATTCCCACTAAAAAGGCAGCCTTGTGTCCTAGCTGGTGCAGTGCTATCTCATTTGTCAGTGGGGGCGGGGGTGGGGGGCCTCCTGGATGCAGCGCACCTGTGTTTTTGCTCTGATGTGCGTTGGAGCCGAGGGCAGTAGCTCGTTCCTGTCCCGATCCTCTCCCCAGCTACGCCATAGCGGACAACGCCTACCGCGTGATGTGCTCTGAGCTGAATAACCACTTTATCCTCATTTCTGGGGAGAGCGGGGCGGGGAAAACGGAAGCCTCCAAGAAGATTCTCCAGTATTTTGCAGTGATGTGCCCCATGACGGAATCGCTGCAGGTAGCCCGCGACCGGCTGCTGCTGTCCAACCCTGTGCTGGAGGTGAGTAACCGCTGAGGACCACGGGAGGAGGCCGGCCTGGGAGCACGCGGAGCCAGGGGACTCCCCTGCCTGGGCAGTCACTGTTAAGAAGGGAGTCGCATGAGCAGCGTCCCAGTGGAGGGCCCGATCCTGGAGTCGATCTGGGAGGGGAATCCAATCCTGGCAAGTCCCTCGAAACCCCCGAGGCTGTGTCCCCAAGTGTAGACTGGATCTGCTCCTAATGTTTGTCTCGGGACAGATGAAACTTGTTCAAACTGCGCAGCCCCATTAGGAAGCCCGTTAGTGAGGCTTGATGGCTTACTGCTCTTCTTATTTAGTTAAAACGTAACGAAGGACTACAATTGGCTTCTGTTACAATTCCGGGACTTCCCAGCTGACTGTGAACAGGCGCTGGTTCCTCTTGAGGTTTGGGCTTCTTCTGTAGACCGTGGTGGTGGTTGGAGGCATTTCCCCATAGGCTGTTTGAGAGGAGCGATTGGATCTAAGGAGGCACCTGCTGCCGGGGACGGTCAGTGGTGGCTTTGGAACAGTGAGGGCTGTGTCCTTCGGTGTTGGCCATGTCTGCCACATTCCTAGATTTGCATTCCGGGGAGAAGACATTTTTCCCTCCGTCTCCCTGGGTCTGACTCCAGCTTTGGGCGTTAAGTTCTCTGTAGTTAATATAATCGCTCCTTCTTAGAAAATGAGGCAGGGGGCTCATCTCTCCACCCACTGTGGTGATAGCGTGTTTATCTGGGGGCCAGGGGTTTGATAAGCAGGTGGGATCATGATAAGCATGTTTATCTGGGGGCCAGGATGAGCTTAAATGACAGTGAATGACACTTTGTATTGGAAGGCTTTTGGAAATGCCAAAACACTGCGGAATGACAACTCCAGCAGATTTGGGAAATACATGGACATACAGTTTGACTTCCAGGTACGCTGACGCCCCTCTTCCTGGTTCATGGGGACCCCACTGTCTGCCAGTGGTGGACCCCTACCCGAGGCATGGCAATGGAGGAAGGGCCTTTGTTGGTACAAACGGTTGAGAAATCGGGGTCGGTGCTGATTTTGGGACACAGCAGTAAGGAGCGTGATGAAATGCCATTTTAGACCTTCCAGGTGGGCAAAAATTATCTACCAGATGCTGATAAGTGTGTGGAGCACAGGAATTCTTACTCCGTGCCAGGACGTGTGCATTTCTCTAACCCATCTGGGGCGCAGTGGTATCAGACTAGCCGTTAAGATGCCTTCAGCGTGCATCAGAGTGCCTGGGTTTGATTCCTGGCTCTGGCTCCTGACTCCACATTCCTACTGCTGTGGATTGTGGGAGGCAGCAGCAATGGCAGGGTTCCTGCCACCTACGTGGGAGACCCGGAGTGAGTTCCCAGCTCTTGGCTCCCGTCCCTGCCAGGAGCCATTGTGGGAGGTTAGTGCGTGAGGAAGAGGATGGGCACTCTGTCTGCCTCTCAATATATATATATATATATATATATACACACATATATACATATATACATATATATATACACACACATGTATATATATGCCTACATTTTTATTAATCCTCATAGTTTTAGAAATTCTAGTGGGACATAGTGGGGTTTTTTCCACTGTGATTTCAGTTTGCATCTCCCTGATAATTGATGGAGATTTGCTTATTGACCACTTAAATTTGTTCTTGTTCAAGTCTTTCACCCATTTTTAATTGGGTTGTCTATGCTTTTTTTTGTCCTGAAATAAAAATTCCTTAGTGGATATATTATTGGTAATCATAATTGAGACTGTGACATTGACAAAGAAGGTGGGTGAAAAAACCAACGGACCAGAAAAGAGTCCAGAAAGATGCCCACCTTTATAGTCAGCTGTTGAAAAGGCACCACTGTGATTCAGCAGGGATAAGATTATCTTTCCAGTCACTGGTGGTGATCAACCAGATCTCAATATAATAAAGAATAAATAAATAAAAATAATAAAAAGACCTTTGATCCCTACCTCACTCCGTTTATTGAACAGTGATGTATCATCATCACGAATAGTAAAACTATCACGTCTAAGTGAAAACAGAAGATATCTTCGTGACCTCAGGGTAGGCAAAAGTCTTTTTAAACAGAACCCGGAAAACACTGATCATTGCCAAATCTAGATCAGACTGTACTCAGATGAATCCCTGCTCTTCAGGAGATAGTGGTGAGCAGGTGGCTTGCCCGCTGCTGGCAGTGACCGACGCAGGTCTGTTCTGTCTTGAAGGGCGTCCCGGTAGGTGGACACATCATCAGTTACCTGATAGAGAAGTCCCGCGTCGTCTACCAAAACCAGGGCGAGCGGAACTTCCACATCTTCTACCAGCTGCTGGCAGGTGGCGAAGCAGAGCGTCTGGCTTACCTGGGACTTGAGCGGGACCCCCAGCTGTACAAGTACCTCTCACAGGTTGGAAGGGCTAGTGCTTGGCTTTGGTGACTTTGGAGGAGATTCAGGGTGTTCATGGGGGCTGCTCTGGAATGCTTCTTGCTTTTAAAGATTTTGGGGGGTGGGGGTGCTGGTGCTGTGGTGAGGCAGGTTAAGCCTCCGCCTGCAGTGCCAGCATCCCATGTGGGTACCAGTTTGTGTCCTGGCTGCTCCTCTTCCCATCCAGCTCTCTGCTATGGCCTGGGAAAGCACTGGAAGATGGCCCAAGTCCTTGGGCCCCTGCACCTGCACAGGAACCTGGAAGAAGCTCCTGGCTTTGGATTGGCCCAGCTTTGGCTGTTGCGGCCATTTGGGGAGTAAACCAGTGGATGGAAGCACCTCTCTGTGACTCTTCCTCTCCAATGATAATAAATAAATAATTTTTATTTACTTGAAAGGCAGAGTTAAAAGAAGAGATAGAGAAAGAGAGCTTCCATCCGCTGGTTCACTCCCCAAATGGCCACAATGGCTGGAGCGGGGCCCATCTGAAATCGGGAGCCAGGAGCTTCCTCCAGGTCTCCCAGGCGGGTACAGGGGCCCCAGGACTTGTTTCATTTATAAAGTTGTAGAAGGTTCCATCCATTTCGCCAAGGGCTTTTCTAACCCTTTGGTAATGAAGCCATTCTCTCTGGGAATAGATCATATCTTATTTCTTGCAGGTTTTTCCCTGGCCGCACTACTCCGGCCCTATTCTGATGCCCCAGTGGCTTGGGGAATGGTTCGAGCTATTTACCCGGGTGAATACATTTTAACAGGCTTCCTGACGTCCATAGTTTTGGCAGACTCAGTGGTTTGCCTGTGCCATATATTTGCAGGGCTTCTAAACCACCAGGTATCTGCAAGGGACTGACTCACACAGCCTTGGCCTTGGGGCACAGGAGCAAACGTTGCTGGCTATGTGGGAAGGGATACAGTCGACTCTCGTCCCCAGGGACTGGTACCAGGACCCCGGCCCCACTTTGAATTCCAAAATCCATGGCTGCTCAAGTCCTTGTGTAGAAGGGTGACTTTGCATAGAACCTGCACACATCGTTCTGTGTACCATATACTTAGAATTTCTCCTGGATGACTTACAGTACTTGTTACATTGTGTTTCTTAAAGATTTATTTATTTATTTGTTAAAGATTTCTTTATTTATTTAAAAGAGTTACACAGAGAGAGGAGAGGCAGAGAGAGAGGGAGAGAGAGAGAGGTCTTCCATCTGATGGTTCACTCCCTAATTGGCTACAATGGCTGGAGCTGCGCTGATCTAAAGCCAGGAGCTTCTTCCCGGTCTCCCACACGGGTGCAGGGGCCCAAAGACTTGGGCCATCTTCTACTGCTTTCCCAGGCCATAGCAGAGAGCTGGATTGGAAGGGGAGCACCTGAGACTTGAACTGGCGCCCATATGGGATGCCGGCGCTTCAGGCCAGGATGTTAACCCGCTGTGCCACAGTGCCGGCCCTGATTTATTTATTTCAAAGGAACAGTTAGAGAGATGGAGACAGAAGTCTTCCATCCACTGGTTTACTCCCCAAATGGCCACAATGGCCGGAGCAGGGCCCATCTGAAATCAGGAGCCCAGAGCTTCTTCCAGGTCTACCACGGGGGTCCAGGGGCCCAAGCACTTGGGCCATCTTCTACTGCTTTCCCAGGCCATAGCAGAGAGCTGGATCAGAACTGGAGCAGCCGGGACTCAATCTAGCACCCATATGGGATGCAGCACCACAGGTGGCGGCTTTACCCACTACATCTCAGCACCAGCCCCTACATTGTATTGTTTAAGTGATTAAATAAAGGGGAAAGGTCTGTCCATGCTCAGTACAGACACAGGTTTTTTTCATATATATATGAGGTGAATCTCCTTTCTCTTATTTAAGTTTTGTTTTTGTTTTGTTTTGGGATGTAGGGTTACAGACAGAAGGAAAGACAGAGAAAAGTCGCCATTCACTGATTTGCTCCCCAAATGGCTGCAGTGGCCAAAGCTGGGCCCATCAGGAGCCAGGAGCTTCTTCTGGGTCTCTCACATGGGTGCAGGGACCCAAGCACTTGGGCCGTTTTCACTGTTTTCACAGGCCTGAAGCAGAAAACTGGATCGAAAGTGGAGCAGCCAGAACTGGTGCCCATATGGGATGCAGGCACCACAGGCAGGAGCTTAGCCCACTATGCTACAGCGCTGGCCCTCTGGATACATTTATTAAAGATCTGTTTTGTTTATTTGAAAAGCGAGGTTGGGATTGGTGTCTTCCATCCACTGGTTCATTCCCCAAATGGCCCCAAAAGCCTGGTCTGGACCAAGGTTAAGCCAGGAGCCAGGAACTCCAACCAGGTTTCCCACATGTGTGGCAGGGGCCCATGCGCTGGGCCATCTTCCTCTGCCTTCCCAGGCACATCAGCAGGGAGCTGGATCGGAAGGGTTGCAGCCAGGACTTGAAGCAGAACATGGACATGGGAGCCTGGCGTTGCAAGTAGCAGTCAGTCTGCTGCACCACGGTGCTGGGTCCTCCGATATTTTTGGTCTGCGACTGGTTAACAACACAGATTTGAAGAGCCAGCTGTGTTTGTGAGGCTGCGAATTTTCTACTGGCCACTTCAACAGCATTTATTTTCACTGCAGGAAACTTTGATTTGAGTCAGTGGGTGGAAGTTTCTCTGTGTGTCTTTCTCTCTAATAAGTCTTTTTAAAGAACATTTTTAAGGGGGCTGGCACTGTGGTGCAGTGGGTTAAGCCGCCATCTGCAGTGCCAGCATCCCATTTGGGCACTGGTTCGAGTCCTGGCTGCTCTGCTTCCAATCCAGCTCCCTGCTACTGCTCCTGGAAAAGCAGCAGAAGATGGTCAAGTGCTTGGGCCCCTGCACTCACGTGGGAGACCTAGAGGAGGCTCCTGGCTTCAGTCTGGCTCAGCCCTGGTCATTATGACCATTTGAGGAGTGAACCAGTCGATGGAAGATATCTCTCTTTGCCTCTCTAACTCTTTCAAGTAAATAAATAAATCTTTTTTAAAAATCACATTTTTAGGAAGATACACCACTAATATGTAATGTTGAGATTATTTTCCCCAGTACACAGATTTTAAAACAAAATTTGATGGGGCTGGTGCTGTGGCATAGCATGTAAAGCCGTAGCCTGCAGTGCCAGCAGGTGCTGGTTCAAGTCCCAGCTGTTCCACTTCTAGTCCAGCTCTCTGCTGTGGCCTGGGAAAGCAGTGGAAGATGGTCCAAGTCCTTGGGCCCTTGCACACATGTGGGAGACTAGGAAGAGGCTCCCAGCTCCTGGTTTGGGATTGGCGCAGCTCCAGCTGTTAAGGCCATTTGGAGAATGAACCAACAGATGGAAGACCTCCCTCTCTCCCTGTCTCTCCTCTCTGCACCTCTGCCTCTGCCTATAACTGCCTTTCAAATAAATAAGTACATAAATAAATAAATAAGGGGCTGGTGCTATGGCATAGCAAGTAAAATCCGCCTCCTGCAGTGCTGGCATCCCACATGTGTGCCGGTTCAAGACCCAGCTGCTCCACTTTCTATCCAGCTCTCTGCTATGGCCTGGGGAAGCAGTAGAGGATGGCCCAAGTCCTTGGACCCCTGCACCCGCGTGGGAGACCTGGAAGAGGCTCTGGGCTCCTGGCTTCAGATCGGTGTAGCTCTGGCCGTTGCAGCCAGTTATGGAGTGAACCAGCGGGTGGAAGAGCTCGCTCGCTCGCTCTCTCTCTGCCTCTCTACCTCCCCTTCTCTCTGTATAACTCTGACTTTCAAATAAATAAATAAATATTTTAAAAAATCTTTATAAAAATAGAATTCCAAATACATCTGGAAAAAAGTAGCATTTGGCCATCGTATGCTAGGCAGAGTGAAGCCTGTTTCCCCCTCAGTTTTGTGCGTTGCAGAACTAGCTTGTGCGTGCTTGTGGAGAGGACCGTTTCACTGTATGCTGTGCTCTTTGCTGTCCTCATAAGAATGCCATTAAGGCCGGCGCCGTGGCTCACTAGGCTAATCCTCCGCCTGCGGCGCCGGCACACCAGGTTCTAGTCCCGGTCGGGGCGCCGGATTCTGTCCCGGTTGCCCCTCTTCCAGTCCAGCTCTGCTGTGGCCCGGGAGTGCAGTGCAGGATGGCCCAAGTCCTTGGGCCCTGCACCCGCATGGGAGACCAGGAGGAAGCACCTGGCTCCTGGCATCAGATCAGCGTGGCGCACCAGCTGCAGAGGCCATTGGAGAGTGAACCAAGAGAAAAGGAAGACCTTTCTCTCTGTCTCTCTCCCTCACTGTCCACTCTGCCTGTCAAAAAAAAAAAAATATGCCATTAAGTGACCCAGTTTTGTCCCAGGGTCGTTGTGCCAAAGAGTCGTCCATTAACGACAAGAACGACTGGCAAACCGTCTCCAACGCCTTCTCCGTCATCGAGTTCACGGAAGCTGACCTGGAGGTACGGGCCCTGGGGTCCTGGCTGGCGTTAAGGAGGTGATCCCGCCTCCCTGGTGCCTGCGGTCAGGGGGTCAGATTCAGCAGAGAACAAATACCAGAGTATTTCCAAAAACTCATAGAAAAATGGAACTAAAAGCTAAGTTTATTTGGGTGCCAAAGACGTTAAATCCGGGCATTGTTTTCTCATAGGGAGCCTTTCCCTTAGACGTCTGAAGACCCTGCAGCACAGGGCACCCGTGTGAATTTCAGATAAACAACGAAGACCTTGTGGGTATGGACAGGTCCTAAATGTCACGGCCAATATGCTAAAAATTTTGCTGCTTCTGCTTTGAAATGCAAGCATTCGCTGGGCGCCGTGTGTCTTATCTGACAGCTGCGTTTCTCCAGGAGCGGCTTGGAGAAGATCATGTTCACCTTCCCCTAAATCGAATCCAATCTCAATAATGCACATCTCTCAAAATTGTAGGATTAATCAATCATCTGTTGAAGTCTCTTGCAAAAAGTGGGATTTGTAAGCATTTTGTGTTAGCGTTTTTTCTTCCCTTACTTTGATTGTTAGGTTATTAATCTTTCAAGGGCCACAGTGGAGTTCAGCCCAAAAAGAAAAAAAAATCTTGGAGCCTGGTGTTTGAAAACTCAGTGATTCATTGGTGGGGTTTATCGGAGACAAGTTTGTTATGAAACATTTTGTGAGCGTGATTTCTTTTGCAAAAAAAAAAGTAAATTGACTTGTTGGTGTTTGTGACGTCCTGTGCTGGAGACAGGGCGAAGCTTCCGCCCCCTTTGCTGCACATCAGAAGTGGCTCCTCGGTACCTGCTGAGGGGGGAGGGGTCAGGGAGGGGGGTTTGGGCTCAGCGAGGTGGGGGCTGCATCTGAAGGCAGGTGATGGCCTGGGGCGCCGCTGCTGGTGTCATTCTATGCCCTCCTCTGCCCACCTAGAACCTCTTCGGGATCCTTGCCAGCGTCCTGCACCTGGGCAATGTTTGTTTTGAAGAAGACGCCCAGGGCTGTGCCGCCATCCCAGACACACACGAGATCAAGTGGATCGCCAAGGTGAGGACAACAGAGGGAGCCCCCGGGGATGGGAGAGGGAGGCGGGGCTGAGGGTGGCTCCCAGCTAGGTCCACGGCTGAGAGAATCAGGGGGGGACCCATGGGAGGTTTAGAGAGGTTGGCCACCAGGTGGCAGTGGTCTGTTTGGGACTGGAGCGCGCCGATGACTCAAGGCTTGGGCTGGAGCTCCGTGGGCTCTTGGTAGGAAGTCAGGCCGGTGACTGATGGACTTTGGGTTCCTTCTGTTCAGCTCCTGGGCATCTACCCGTCGGTGCTGCTGGAAGCTCTCACCCACAGAAAGATTGAAGCCAAGACGGAGGAGGTAAGATGGCTCTTGGCGCCCGTGCACCTGCCCCCTTCTCTGGGGCGGATCAGTGGGGTGTGGCCCCCGGAGAGGCCAAACCTTTGAACCTAGCCTGCCAGGCCCTGCATGGTCCAGCTCCTGCTGGTGCCTCCTGCCTCATCCTCACCGCCACAGCCACACACTCCATGGACACCTTCTCCTTGCCATACCTCCCCTTTGCACATGCTGTTCCTTCTCCCCAAACACTTTTCCCTATGCTTGTCACCCTTCAGCCCCGGGGATCAGTTCCTCGGAGAGCACCCACCTCCACCTCAAAGCCCCACGTGTGATGACCCCTTTCCGGGGGGCTCTTCACATGCCTCTCCATCCACACCTCCCACTGAACTGTGAACCCACATGGGCCGGGTCTGCGTGTGTCATGGTCGTGACTGGGTCGTAGCCACCCAGCGCACTGCCTGGCACACAGTGGGTGCTCGAGGAACACGGGCGGGCGGGGTGGCAGTGTCCTTTGCTCGTGGTTGTCCTGGACACACACGAGATCAAGTGGATCGCCACGGTGAGGACGACGGAGGGAGCGGATCAGTGGGGTCGTCGTTGGAAATGGGTCTTTGTTGGAATCCACCGTGACCCTGCCATTGCTTTCAGGTGATCTGCCCACTGTCGCCAGAACTGTCTGTCTACGCCAGAGATGCTATGGCGAAGGCAGTCTATGGACGGACGTTCACGTGGCTGGTCAGCAAGATCAACTCGTCCCTGGTGAACAAGGTTGGCTGGTGCAGTTCCCGTCACTCGCTGTCGCTCACGCAGTCGCTGGAAAGCACTTGCGAGGACAGACTGGAAGGGCCTGGTGGCAGGCGGCATGCCTGTCCACATTTCCCGTGGGTAGCACGTGGTTGGCTCGCAGGAATGCTTCACGACTTCTGTAGCATGTCCCAAAGCACGGTCTGAAGGGGTGGCATAGCGCAGCCGTGGGTTAGGCCACTGCTTGCGACACCAGCATCCCATATCGGAGCGCCAGTTTGAGTCCTGGCTGCTCCGCTTCTGATCTGGCTCCCTGCTAGTGCGCCTGAGAAGGCAGCGGAGGATGGCCCAAGCGCTTGGGCCCTGCCACCCACGTGGGAGACCTGGATGCAGTTTGGGCTTATGGCTTCAGCCTGACCCAGCCTTGTCTGTTACAAGTATTTGGTGAGTGAACCAGCAAATGGAAGATCTCTCTCTCTTTCTCTGTAGCTCGCTCTCACTCTCTCTCTCTCTCTCTCTCTCTCTCTCTCTCTCTCTCTCTTTAGCTCCCTCTGTTGCTGCTGCTCTGCCTGGCAAGTAAAGAAATCTTTAGAACAACAACAGCAAAGTGTGGTTGACCAGATGGCTCCAGGTGTACACAGCAATTGTCAATATTACCAATGGTGCAAGGGCACTTTAGGTCATGGAAAAAATTTTTTTAAATCATGGAAAAGTAGAATTAGAAAATGAATTTATTTTGAAACAAAAAGAAGTTTTGAAATCCATGCCTAGATTTTTCCTACATACATTTCTGTGAACCTTTTGAAGACCCCTTGTATGCAGGGATTTTCAAGTTTTTTTGGACCAAAATAAACTTTTTTTAAAAAAGTTTTATTTGAAAGGTAGAGTTACAGAGAAAGAGGAGAGAAGGGTCTTCCATCTGCTGGTTCATTTTCCAAATGGCCACAACTGCCAGGGCTGGGCCAGACCAAAACCAGGAGCTTCATCCGGGTCTCCCATGTGGGTACAGGAGCCTAGGGACTTGGGGCATCTTCTACTGCTTTCCCAGGTGGATTAGCAGGGAGCTGGATCAGAAGTGGAGCAGCTGAGACTCAAACCGGCACCCATATGGGATGCTGGTTCCACAGGAGGTGGTTTTTTCTGCTACACTGCAACGTCAACCCCCCCCCCCAAAAAAAAAACCCACATGGTGGAGGGCATCCCGCAGTAAGAGAGCAAGTGCACTCACACCTCGCATCCACCGCCCCCTAAAAAGCCACAGATGCCATCATGGATGTCCTCTGCCCCCAGCCGTGACGTCATCTAATCCTAGTCACCTCCCGAAGGTCCTTCATCTGAATATCACCAATGTAGGAATTTGGGGGGGAGGGTAGCTCCCACCACATGGGCTTCCAGGAGCACAGTCGAGCCATAGCCTTGTCTTGCAACAGCCACCCTTGCCGGATAACACTGGGTTCTGTAGGAGCTGCGGCTCGAGCCCCGTCTCCTCCCCTGGGCTAGCATCTTCTTCACTCTGCCACTTTGGCATTTCTTTATGGACTGACCATGAACTTGAGAGGTGAAGGGGGCTGACCCACAGTGCCGGGGTGGGGGCCACGGTGGGGTGCAGGCAGGCTGCAGACAGGAGGAACAGGCCATGAGAACCACTTTCCCCAGAGGTTTCTCTGTGAGCCCCTGTTGGAATCCACGGCCCAGCTCTGGGCTCAGGGGCAGGGTTCGGGGTGTCACGAAGCACCAGACCGAGGCGTTCATGCCGTGTGTTGTTCCACCCAGGATTTCACCAGGAAAACCGTGATCGGGCTGCTGGACATCTACGGGTTTGAAGTCTTCGACAAGAACGGGTGAGCTCTGTTGGGGCCGCTGTGACCCACAAGGGCTGGGTCCTTTAGAAGGACAAGGAGGGCTCCTTAGCCCACGGTGTGCACAGCAGGAAGTCCAGGATCGGGCGGCCCCACTGCCACTTCTTCTTCCTGTGACAGGTGCCTTCCCGGCTCCGTCACAACGTGGTGGGTGGTGTGACAGTGGCGGGGCTGCCAGGGGAGGAGGCGTGTGGTCAGAGATTCGAGGGGGTGGTTCTGCCTTTGACGACAACTCGCTCCATAAGACCAGCCTTCGCCCCCTCCGAGGGCACAGCCCCAGCGATCTGAGCCTGTCCCACCAGACACCTCCTCTTAGTATCACAACGCTGCGTACCAGGCTTCTAACACAGGGGCCCTTTGGGCTCCTGCCCAAGCCATAGCACCCTCCTCACCTGCCTCTCCCCTGGCCCTCCTTATGGCTTTGGTTGATTTAAGTATCTCTGGCGCTACCAGAACTGATATTCCCTATGTTTGTATCGCTCCTAATTCACAGATCATTCTAGAAGTGGAAAAACCATTATAATTATTTTTAACTTGAATCCTATGATTTGTTTAGTAAATTATTTTAGTAAAAATAACTTGTTTTGCTTTTTCCTCTACTAAAAAATATTGTTACATGGGTTAAGGTTTTGTAAAAAATTAGTGTAGTTCTGGCACGGGAGTTCCTTAAAGCGCTGTGTCTCTAGTTTTGAACAGTTCTGTATCAATTACTGCAACGAGAAACTCCAGCAGCTGTTGATAGAGAGGACCCTGAAGGCGGAGCAGGCGGAATACGAAGCGGAAGGCATCGAGGTACAGGTGGGGACGCACCCTCGCGGAGCCTCCCTCTGGCTCAGAAGTGGCATTGCACCAGAGAGGTTCCGACATGTGCCAAGGCCTGTTTCCCACTCTTCCTCTGCGTACTTCCTAGGAAACCATTCTGATAGAAAAATCTCAAGTTTCCGTTTTTTGATTAACATGTAACACTCATGTACGTTAGGGCACAGGGCAATATTGCACCACATATAAACCGATCGATCAACTAATCAGCAGTTCCATTTCCTTAGGGGAGCATCGTTGTTTGAAGGGTCTCAGGCTCCACGGACTGAGCTGGCCGGGCCTCGCACGGAGCCGGTGGGGGAGAGGGGGGATTATTGCTTTAATACTGGATAGCAGGCCGGCGCTGCGGCTCACTAGGCTAATCCTCCGCCTTGCGGTGCCAGCACGCCGGGTTCTAGTCCTGGTCGGGGCGCCAGATTCTGTCCCGGTTGCCCCTCTTCCAGGCCAGCTCTCTGCTGTGGCCAGGGAGTGCAGTGGAGGATGGCCCAGGTCCTTGGGCCCTGCACCCCATGGGAGACCAGGAGAAGCACCTGGCTCCTGGCTTCGGATCAGCGCAGTGCGCCGGCCACAGCAGCCATTGGAGGGTGAACCAACGGCAAAAGGAAGACCTTTCTCTCTGTCTCTCTCTCTCTCTCACTGTCCACTCTGCCTGTCAAAAAAAAAAAAAAAAAAAAAAAAAAAAAAAAACTGGATAACAAAATCAGGGAAACAGCCTTGGAAAATCATGTTGACCCGCTTCACTGTGGTTGTTGTTGCTTTGCTCGTCTAAACACCTCTTGGAGAATTCTTTCCTCTCCGCCGTTTCAGTGGGAGCCAATCCAGTACTTCAACAACAAGATCATCTGCGATTTGGTAGAAGAGAGGCACAAAGGCATCATCTCCATCCTGGTGAGCCCCCCCCCCCCCCGTGGACCCGGAGCCCACCCCCGTGGACTCGGAGCCCACCCCTCTCTAGGGCTCTTTCCCCAGCTGAGCTGCGAAGGGCGGAGCGTGGAATCCCCTGGGTTACTGAGGCTTCCGGTTGAGCGTCTGTGCTGAACTCCTGCCCGGAGCTGTAACTGAGGTCTGCACGTTGGAATCGGTGGACCTGAGTGCCCACTGCCAGGGGAGAAAGCCCACGTGGCTGCCTTCCAGAGGCGGGAGCAGCAGCCGAGACCAGGGGAGTCCTTGTAGCAACTGGTCCCTTTCACCCTTCCTCTTCCCCCACCCCCACTGCCACTACCTGCTCAGGGAGCCCAGTGTTCTAAAGTACAGCGGGGACATTGCTGGGGTGGCTGTGGTTGCCTGGGACACGGATGCCACCTGGCTTCACGGTGTCACACTGGGCAGGTGACTCGAACATCCCCAAGCTCTCATTTCATCATCTGTAAACGGGGAGAGCGAAGGGGTGAGGACAAGTTGAAGGGTAATGCATGTGGCACTCACAGAACCGTGCTGCTGCACCGTCAGCATCCGGACTCCTCATCCGTTCGCCAAACCCATGTCAAGTGCTTACTTGATGCTGGGGTGGGGCCATGAGCTTTGGAACTCAGAGGGGAACAAAACAGATCAAACTCGGACTTTAAGTTTTAGCGTGGAAAGATGGAACAGACGGCTTCATGCGCACAACAGAGATCCTACCAGTGAAAAGCTGCTGGCAGGGAGGGGAGGGGTCCCATCTTGGGTTATGTGAGGCAGGGGCTCCCTGAGCAGGGGACATTGGAGCAAAGATGTGAACGAGGAAAGGGGCGTGCCGTGTAGACATCTGGGCAAGAACTGACAAAACCTAGTTTATGGACAGTGTTGGCATACGTTGCTGAACTCCAGTACTTCTAAATATCTTAATCAACTCGTGCTGGAATTTCATGTTCCATATAGAATTGGAAACATTAGAATTACCTCTTAATTTTGTCTTTAAAAGGGGGTGGGAGGAGGGTGGGGGCCTGTGCTGTGGCAACGCAGGCATCCTGTATGGGGATAGTTCAAGTCCTGGCTGCTCCACTTCTGATCCAACTCCCTGTTAATGCGCCTGGGAAAGCAGCAGATGATGTCCCAGGTGCTTGGATCCCTGCATGCATGTGGGAGACCTAGATGGAGTTCCTGGCTCCTGGCTTTAGTCTGGCCCAGCTCCAGCCATTGTAGCCATCTGGGAAGTGAACCAGCGTGTGGAAGCTCTCTCACTCTCTCGCTCTTCCTCTCTGTAACTCTGCTTTTCAGATAAATAAAGAAATCTTAAAAAAAATTTTGTCCTAACTTCAACCAAGTTCTTTAAGTCAACTGTTGAGTTGATTCATGCATAAGTGATTGAGAGGATCAGTGAAATGTTGTCTTGTTGAGGCCCAAACTAGGAACAGGAAGAGGGGGCTTGAGAAGCGTGAAAGGGTGGTCTCAACTGGTCTCATAACTTCCTTTAAAAAAATTGTATTTATTTGAAAGACAGCGTGACAGAGGAGGAGAGATGGAGAAAAAGATCTTCCACCTGCTGGTTCACTCTCCAAATGCCCACAATGGCCAGAGCTGGTCCAGGCTGAAGCCAAGAGCCCAAAACTCCATCTGGGTCTCCCACATGGGTAGCAGGGAGAGGGGGGTGTTTTCTGAGACACATTAGCAGGGAGCTGGATTTGCCCCAGTGTTCCAGCATGGGATGCCAGGGTCACAGGTGGCAGTTTGACCCCATGGGCCATAGCTCTGGCCCCGAAGTATTTTAATTTAGAACATTCTGCCGAGGCTGGTGACAGCGTTTACCCTTGGAATTGCTGCTGTGGACTGAGGCGTCTCTGTTTCCTTGGAAGGACGAGGAGTGTATTCGGCCTGGTCACGCCACCGACTTGAGTTTCCTGGAGAAATTGGAGGAGAAAGTGGGCAAGCACGCGCACTTCCAAACGTACGTGCTTGATCGGACGGGTGGTGGCGTGGGGGGAGATGACTGTGTCTGTCGGCTTTGGCACGTGGCTGGTGCTCCCCGTAAGCTCAACTGTTTCTTAAACGGCATTCTCACGTGGTTCTCTCACACGTGTGCCTGCCTTTGTCAGCAGAGATCAAATGCAGACATGTTCCGCGTAGGCTTTTGGAAAAGATTTTGCGTCTTGCTTTATCCAGTGATCATTGTATTTTAGACGTACCCACGTACAATCGGATATAAAACACCTACAGTGGTGGGTGTAGACCTGAAACACACAGCCTGATGGGTTGTTTATATGTAACCATGTGACCAGTAAATCAACTTGAAACTAATCTAGACAGAATTTAAGGGCACGCGTCCTGGAGTCGTGATGACCTCGTTTTCTAACCCAGGACGCGTGACTTGAGCAGGCTCCCTGCTCCCGCATCTGTGTTTCCTCTTCTTCAAGATAGGGTCAGTGACATCCCCGCCTCGTAGCACGGGCAGAGGCGACATAAATAACCTGGCCATGGCGGAGCCTCAGCCAGCGCTAGTGACGGCGGGCTTGCTGCAGGTTACCGAAAGGCAAAGTGAGTGAAGTTGCCTGAGCCTAAGGGAGGCAGGGATGGGAGAAAGCTGTGCTACATTCACAGATGGGGCACCATGTCACCATTCGAATGAGACGACACGGCACATGCCCAGTTGTTCCACTGTACACCTCACGGAACTAAGTCAAACCGACTCGGGCAGTGAGCTGTCAGGCTCAGGCTGGGAAAGGGCTTGGGGTCAGAGTGCTCGTGGACTTGGCCACGTTCTGTGTCTTGATCTGGATGGGAAGGTTCATTACATTGTGCGCTCAGGATATGTGTTCTCTGAGTCTACTTTAAAAAAGCGTGCTTCATGAGGAGATAGAATGAAAGGAAGTTTCTTTGGGTGCAAATATAAAAGGAAATCCACAGTCGGCGTGTGAGACGCTGCTCGGGACATCCACGTCCCACGACGGAGGGCCTGGGTTCAAGTCCCGGCTCTGCCCCTGATTCCAGCTCTTGGTTGATGTGCGCCCTGGGCGGCAGCAGCTAATGACCCAAGTAGTCGGGCCCCTGGCACCTGTGTGGGAGACCTGGGTTGAGTTGCTAGTTGCCAGTTCTTGTGGGCGTCTGGGGAGTGAACCAGTGGATGGGCACGCTGTCTCTTTCAAATAAGTTTTAAAAACTGAAATCCATGCATAGTTTTTTCATAATGTACATTTTCCATGAACTTTCTAAAGATATTGATATGTACGATTTCAATTTCTTTGCACCAAAAATAAACACATCTTTTGATTTCTGTGAACTTTCTGAAGTGCCTTTGTCTTTCAAGAAAAAGTTAATTTCTGGAGCGTCAGTATCTGAATCGGGATATTCCTTGAGTCTTCTACTTTTTTAAAGCCCCACAAGTGTAAGGAAGTAAAGCAGTTTTTTGGCTATCACCTGGGAAAATAGATCTGATTTCATTTGTAGCATGCACTTGTGTTTCACTTTTGAATTTTTATCTCTCAGGACTTAGGAGAGAGAAGGTCAAATTTTATTTTTCTTAAAGATTTATTTATTTGAAAGGCAGGGAGAGCGAGAGAGTGAGCAAGAATGAACACGAAAACACACCCTTCCAACTGCTGGTTCACTCCCCAGATGGCTACAACAGCGATGTCTGGGCCAAGCCAGGAGCCCAGAAATCCATCTGGGTCTCCCACATGGGTGCAGGGACCCGAGCACTTGGGCCATCTTCTACTGCTTTCCCAGGTGCATTAGTGTGGAGCTGGATTGGAAGTGGAGCAGCCGGGACTCAAACTGGCACTCCAGTATGGGACACTGGTGTTGCAAGTATGGCTTTTAACCCACTGCACTACGACTCTGGCCCAGGATCTGATTTTGGAGAGAAGTTCATCTTTAGTCAGATGAACTGGGCAGCGAGCCTTCCTGGGCCCCTGTGGCCGGCTCTCGGCACCAGCCTTCATCTGCTAGTCATCTTCCTAAACGTCTCCCCCAACCCCCACCCTTTGCTTCAAGCATCGGGGCCCTTCCGTTGCAGTGGAGCCTGCGGGCTGAGTTCCTGTCTTTCTCTCTTGTAGCCGTAAGCTGGCTGGCCCTAAGGGCCGGAAGAGGATTGGCTGGATGGAGTTCCGGCTCCTCCACTATGCGGGAGAGGTTACCTACTGCACCAAGGGTGAGTGGCATGGCTGCAGGCCGTGGCCTTGCATGTGGCCTTGTGTGTGTGTGCTCAGCCTAGTCACAGACGCAGCTCCCTTGTAGCATAGCGGGTAAAGCCTCCGTCCGCAGTGCTGGCATCCCATATGGGCACCAGTTTGAGTCTCGGCTGCCCTACTTCCGATCCAGCTCTCTGCTATGGCCTGGGAAAGCAGTGGAAGATGGCCCAAGTCCTTGGGCTCCTGCACCCACATGGGAGACTGGGATGAAGCTCCTAGCTTTCCCTGGCTATGGTGGCCCCTTTGGGGAGTGAACAGTGGATGTAAGATCGATCTCTCTCTCTCTCTCTCTCTCTCTCTCTGTCTCCCTCCGTCTCCCCCCGTCTCCCCACCCCCTTCTCTCTCTGTAATGTTTCAAATAAAATAAATCTTTAAAAAATCCCCCCTGAGGAAGTGTCTCCTGTCCATCCCAAAGGATGCCTGATCCCGCACTTGCCTGTGCCTGGAAATGACTTTCTCACTTTATTGATTGATTTTATATGTGAGGGGACTCTGAAAAGTTCATGGAAAGTGCATATCACTAAAACTCTGGCCGGCGCCGCGGCTCAATAGGCTAATCCTCCACCTGCAGCGCCGGCACACCAGGTTCTAGTCCCGGTCGGGGCGCCGGATTCTGTCCCAGTTGCCCCTCTTCCAGGCCAGCTCTCTGCTGTGGCCAGGGAGTGCAGTGGAGGATGGCCCAAGTGCTTGGACCCTGCACCTGCATGGGAGACCAGGAGAAGCACCTGGCTCCTGGCTTCGGATCGGCGCGGTGCACTGGCCACAGCGCACCAGCCGCAGCGGCCATTGGAGGGTGAACCAATGGTAAAGGGAGACCTTTCTCTCTGTCTCTCTCTCACTGTCCACTCTGCCTGTCAGAAAGAAAGAGAGAGAGAGAGAGAGAGAGAGAGAGGGAGGGAGGGAGGGAGGGAGGGAGAGGGAGGGAGGGAGGGAAAGAAGGAAAGAAGGAAGGAAGGAAGGAAGGAAGGAAGGAAGGAAGGAAAGGAAGGAAGGAAGGAAGGAAGGGAAGGAAAGGAAGGAAGGGAAGAAAGAAAAGAAAGAAAGAAAAGAAAGAACTGTGTGGCTTCCAGAAATGTGTGCACCACCGTGAACTTCTGATTGCAATTTCCGAGGACTTTTTGAAGTCCGTCCTATAACCCCTCTTTGAGAGGTAACTTGTACACCGTTCACATCCACCTAAGTTTCATCCATTGGTGCAGCCCTCACTACAGTCAATCCTGGAACATTCCGTCACCAGCACAGACACCTGTGCCTGTTACCAGCTGCCGCATGCGGCCCAGCCCCTACAGTCTGAGGCCACAAATTCACCCACCTTCCGTTTGCACAGATGGCTGGTTCTGGGCACTTTGAAATGACTGGAATCATACGTGGTCTTTTCGTCTGACTTCTTCCACGTAGCATCATGTTTTCAAGGGTCATCCCTGTTGCCCTTCCTTTTCCTTGCCAAGTAATACTCCACCGTGTGGCCGTAGCGCTTGTGTTACCTGTTCATCGGGCTGACGGGTGGCTGGTGCACTGTTCTTGGCTACTGTGAATACTGCTGCCACGGCTATTGCCGTGTAAGTTTTGGGCTAGACGTAGGTCTTTGTCTCTTGGGCGTCCCTAGGCGTAGAATGGCTGGGTCATACCTAACTCTGGGTAAAAGCCTTTAGAAGAACTGCCCGGCTGTTACCCACAGCGGCCGCACTGCTGTCTGTTCCCAGAGCAGGGTGTGGCTTCTGGATTTTGCACTGCCAGGTCGATGCTTACTGTCGTCTCTGTTCATTTTGTGTCCTGGGGAATGGAAGAGGGAGGTGACGCCCCGGAGCTGGGGTTTGCGGTTTCCCAGCAGCTGTGGGTGTTGGATGTCTTCTCGTGTGCCCGTTGGCCATTTGTATTTCTCCCTTGAAGAAATGTCTGTTCTGATCCTGTGCCTGTTTTTAGAAAATAATTAGTTTGGGCCAGAGCTGTAGCTCACTTGGTTAATCCTCCACCTGCGGCGCTGGCATCCCATATGGGCGCTGGGTTCTAGTCCCGGTTGCCCCTCTTCCGGTCCAGCTCTCTGCTGTGGCCCGGGAGGGCAGTGGAGGATGGCCCAGGTCCTTGGGCCCTGCACCCGCATGGGAGACCAGGAAGAAGCACCTGACTTCGGATCAGCGTAGCTCCGGCCGTAGCGGCCATTTGGGGAATGAACCAATGGAAGGAAGACCTTTCTCTCTGTCTCTCTCTTGCTGTCTGTAACTACTGTCAAATAAATTTTAAAAAGAAAAGAATTAGTTTGAGAGAGAGAGCGCTCCTGTCTGTTGGTTTGCTCTTCCATCTCCAGGCCTGGGCCTGAAGCTGGGAACCAGAGAGGCAACCCCAGGCCTCCCGCGTGGGTGGCAGAAGCCGGACAGCTGCAGCACCTCTGCTGCCTCTCGGGGTCTGCGGACCCCTGGAAGCTCGGGACGGGGTCACTGGGGTCTTCACCGCTGAGCCACACGCCTGCCCTGCCTCTCTGACAAGTCAGGTTTCCTGTTTTTCTTGTTCTTGAGTTGTAAGTGTTCTTTATATATTCTGGATCCTGGACCCTTATCAGATACACCGCGTGTGAGTATTTTCTCCATGTCTAGGGGTTGTCTTGTTGCTTTCTTCACATTCTTTTTCTTAGGATTAATTTATTTAGGGGGGAGGGGAGAGGAGGGAGGGAGGGAGGACGGACGGATGGACGGACGAACTCGGGAAATTAATCTTGCATTTGCTGGTTCACCCCCCAAGTGCCCACAGCAGCCCGGGCTGGGCCAGGCTGGGGCCAGGAGCTCAATCCAGGTCTCCCACATGCACGGTAGGGACCAAGTACTTGGGCTATCACGTGCTGCCCATCCCCCATCCCCCACCGGCCCCAGGAAGCTGGAATGGAGAACAGAGCTGGGGCCGAAACCCAGGCACCCCATAGGGTGTCTCATCCACTGGGCTAATCCCGTGCCTGTCTTCGGTTCTTTACCTCTGTGACGTGGACAGAATCATTCTCCCCCTTTGCACCCATGAGAGTCGGGAGGGTCACCCAGCCAGGCGGGACGCGGCAGAGCTGGAGCGCCTGCATCCGCGCCACGGCAGCTGCACTTCCTGGGGCACCTGCAGGTCCTCTCCGCCATGAGGCTGTGCCCTGGCTTACTGGGTGGACGCTGCTTGTTTTCAGTGTTTTCTCTTCCAGACAATACTGTCTTAGACATCTTCATGTGCGTATTTTTTTTTCTTGGCCCTCTGGTACTCATCTTGTCCCTACGACACATTCCCCTGCGTGGCAATGCTCAGTTACAGGTTAAATCAAAACTCGGGGCAAATACCCCTAAGGTGGGAATGACCCCAATAAATACCTCTCAGTGGATGCATAAATGAGCAAAATGCGGTCTCTACCAGTGTGCCCCAAAAGTTTGTGGAAAATGCAATTAAAAGATGTTCATGTTGGAGCAAGTTATTTTTGAAATCCATGCACACAAGGGACTTCAAAAAGTTCATGGAAAATATGGATCATTCAAATTGCATTGATTTCAAAAACATTTTGCACCTAAATAAATTACTCTTTTAATCTTTAATTTTAATTTTGGTGAACTCTCTGAAGTACCTTCCTACAAACAGTACAAGAGGAAATAGGTTTGGGCACTGGGCTAGCAGCTTGGGATGTGGGTTAGGACACCCAGGCTTCCACACCAGGGTGCCTGGGGTTTGAGTCCCAGGTCTGGCTCCTGACTTCAGCTTCCAGCCAGCAAGGACCCTGGTGGACAGTGGAGATGGCTCAGGCAGCTGGCTTCCTGCTACCCCCGGGAGGGTGAGCTCTTGGCTCCTGGCTTTAGCTCTGGCTGTTGCAGGTGTTTGAGGAATGATCCAGCACGTGTGTGGGGGAGGGGCTCTCTATATACTCTCTCTCCCTCCCTCTCTCTCCCCCCTCCCTCCCTCTCTCCCTCTCTCTTTCTCCCCCCCCCCCACCCCATCCCCTCTCTTTCTCTCTCTATAAATTTTTATTTATTTGGGAGGCAGACACACACAGATCTCCCATCCACTGGTTCACTCTCCAGATGCCCGCAACACTGAACCCAGAAGCCGCGAACTCAGTCTGGCTCTCCCACGTGGGCGGCAGGGACTCAAACTACTAGAGCCGTCACCTGCTGCCGCCCAGGGTGCGTGTGAACAGGAAGCCAGAATCAGGAGCAGAACTGGACTCCATCCTAGGCACTCGGACATGGGCGTCCCAACTGATCCCACTTGGCAAACGCCCACCCCCTCCGTTACTTCTGTGTGGTCCCCTGCGTGTGGTTCTCTGCTCCTGGACCACAGCCTGTGCACAGGACTGAGCCGAAAGGCTGTGGTTTAAGTGACAACGTCAGGGTTCAGGGTGTAGCACGTGAGCTATGCTCACTTCTGAGGACCTGGTCCAGACACCCGGGGCAGTGTCAGGAGACCTGCGTGTATGTCACAGTGGGGGAGGTGCCACCAGCATCCGGCATGAGCAGCCACCAGCAACGCTGCCCAGTGTCCTACAGGGCTACTGCCTGGCCCCAGGTATCAACAGGGCCAAGGTTGGAGAGCTCTGTTCTAGGAGACGACTTTCAGGGTTCCCCTCCGCCATCAGCTGCAACAGAACCGCACTGTTAGAAGCCGTCCATTCCAACAGGTGTTTTTATCAAATGTTTTTACAGGGTTCCTAGAGAAAAACAACGATCTCCTTTACAGACATCTGAAAGAAGTAAGTGTGGACGCGGTCCCTGTGCTTCTGCGGGTCCCGTGTCGCCTGTGCCCGTGGTCTGGGAGGTGTGGCCTCGTTGATGGTTCTCGTGCGTACATGTCCCAGCACAGCCGTTGACGGTCATCTGAGCTGCTCACTCAACAAACGGGTTTAAGTGGGCGTGGGACCACGCCGTGTGCCGGCTCTGGGGTCTCAGCCGTGCGCGAGACTGAGTCCCTGTCCTCGGGGGCTCCCAGCTGGAGGCAGGGGTGGCGTATACGTGTGTACATCAAAGGGGCTGGTGCAGTGGCGTAGCGGGTAAAGCCACTGCCTGTGACGCCAGCATCCCATATGGGTGCCAGTTTGTGTCCCGGCTGCATCACTTCCGTCCAGCTCACTAATGGCCTGGGGAAAGCAGTGGCAGATGGCCCAAGGACTTTGGGCCCCTGCACTCACGTGGGAGACCCGGATGGAGCTCCTGGCTTTGACCTGGCTCAGCACTGGTCATTGCGGGCATCTTGGGGGTGAACCCCAGCAGATGGAAGATCTCTTTCTCCATCTCTCTCTGCAGTGCTTTCAAATAAATAAATCTTTTTATATCAATGTTACTCATCAGTGAAAAGTACCAGGAAGAAATGATCAAGGAACTGTAATTGAAGGGGACACTTAGAGTTACATAGAGAGGGAGAAACCAAGAGCGAGAGCTTCCATCTGCTGGTTCACTCCCCACATGGCCGCAGTGGGCAGGGCTTGGCCAGACCGAAGCCAGGAGCTTCATCTGGGTTTCCCAGGTAGGTTGCAAGGGCCCAAGTCCTTGGGCTGTCTTCTGCGGCTTTCCCAGGCCATCAGCAGGGAGTTGGCTTGGAAGTGGAGCAGCTGGGGCTCAAACCAGTGCCCATATGGGAGGCCAGCTTCGTAGGCGATGGCTTTCCCCACTGCGCCACAATGCCGGCTGCCAAAGGGGACACTTTTCATTGAGGAATTTGAGAAGATACCTTTGTGGAGATGGCCTTGAGCTGAAGCCTCAATGCGGGTGGCTTTGCAGCACTGGGGGCAGGTCAAAGGGACCGGCCTGTGCAAAGGCCCTGTGGCCCAGAGGGACTCGGGCTGTGCTCGGGGAGGGGTGACTTTAGGAACCCAGGCTGAGAGCTGTTCTGTGCAGTGAGAATGTGCTGGGTGACGGGGCCCGAGCACGAGGACCTGAGGCCGGGCTCAGTCCCCGCTCACGCAGGCTCAGACCGTGGGGTGGGGCAGGAACCGGGATTGGGCCCCGGGAGCTGCTGCTGGTTCCATTGGCCGCGCCCAGCAGAGAAACCTTGGGTCTTTACAGCCTTTGTTTTGTGTTGAAATAGTTACCTGTTTGGGGCAAAACTGGATTTTGCTGGATTTACTGACAAATAAAAGGCTTTCATGTAAAGGTCACCTTTTCCGGATGCTCTGGGGAGTGTTTTCCTCCCCCCACCCCCACCCCGAGCTTTCCCCACCTGCTGTGGGACTGCTGTGTCCCGGGCCGGTGAACAGTTACCTCTGGGCCTCAGCCCCAGGCAGTCGCCATCTGCGGCTGAGCCCCTGCACAACCCCTTCTCTGTCAGGGACCTGTGGCAGGTGTCCCTGTGGGTGGGGTGGGTCTCCACGCATGGTTCCTATGGCCAGCACGTGAGTGGAGACGTCTGGTTTAAAAAAAAAAGGGGGAGGGAGGGACCAGCAGCCAGTGGCCAGCATTTGTCCTGGTGGTCAGGACGCCACGTCCCACATTGGAGTCCCTGGGTTCGAGTCCTGGCTGGCGCCCAGCCAGATTCCCGCTGATGCAGCCCTGGGAGGCGGCAGTGGCCGCACAAGTAGCCGTGTCCTGGCCTCTTACCTGGGAGACCCAGGTTGAATTCTCGGCTCCTGGTCCCGGCCCTGGCCCAGCCCCAGCTATTATGAACACTTGGAGAACAAACCAAAAATGGAACCTTGTGCCTGCTCGCTCACGGTCCCTCCCCAGCCACCCCATCTACAGATCTAAAAATAATAGCAACAAAACCTGGAAACCGTGTCCCCTCGCTGGCTGTCCTCTCTGTGGGCCACAGCCGTTCCTGCCACGATCCAGTCCACGCAGTGTGTGTCTCACGGGGAAGAGAAATCTCTGTCCCTTCCTTCACCCACCGGGGCTGAAGCTCAGGATGTCCTCAGGGCTCATCCATGTTGTGGCTTGGACCAGAATTTCCATTTTAAGACAGAATAGGAGGGGCCAGTGCTGTGGTGCAGTGGGTTAACACCCTGGCCTGCAGTGCCATCATCCCATAGGGGTGCTGGTTCGAGACTTGGCTGCTCTACTTCTGATCCAGCTCCCTGCTATGGCCTGTTCGGAAAGCAGTGGAAGATGGCCCAAGTCCTTGGGCCCCTGCACCCACGTGGGAGACCCAGAAAGAAGCTCCTGGCTTCAGACTGGCACAGCTCTGGCCATTGCAGCCAATTGGGGAGTGATGCAGTGGATGGAAGACCTCTCTCTCTGTCTTTCTCTCTCTCTGAGTCTCCTCTCTCTGCCTCTGCCTCTCCTCTCTCTGCCTCTCCTCTCTCTGTGTAACTCTTTCAAATAAATAAATAACTCTTTAAAAAAAATAGGAGGCAGCATTGTGGCACAGCAGGCTAACGCCGACTTGAGTCTCAGCTGCTGTTTCTGATCCAGTTCCCTGCTGAGGCACCTGGGGAAGCAATGTAAGATGGCCCAAGTGCTTGGGCCCCTGCCACTTACACGGGAGACTCAGATGGAATTCCAGGCTCCTGGCTCCAGCCTGGCCATCGTGGCCATCTGAGGAGTGAACCAGCGGATGGACGTCTCTCTCCCACTCTGTGCCAGTGCACCGTGCACTCTGCACCTTGCTCTTTCCACTGAGTGCCACAGCTTGGAGATGGCTTTTTTTCTTAACATTTATTTTATTTACTTGAAAGGCAGAGTTAGAGGGAGAGACAGACTTGATCAGAGTTCTTCCATCTGCTGGCTCATTCCCCAAATGGCCACAACAGCCAGGGCTTGGTCAGGCTGAAGCCAGGAGCTTCTTCCGGGTCTCCCATGTGGGTGCAGGGGCCCAAGCACTTGGGCTGTCCTCTGCTGTTTTCCCAGGTGCATCGGCAGGGAGCTGGATTGGAAGTGAAGCGGTTGGAACTCAAACTGATGCCCCTATGGGATGCCAGCACTGCAGGTGTTGGCCACAACACCAGCCCCCAGAGATTTTTTTTAAAAAAAATTTAAAAATTTCTACATTTTAAGCTAGCGCTGTGGCTCACTAGGCTAATCCTCCACCTTGCGGCACCGGCACACCGGGTTCTAGTCCCGGTTGGGGCGCCGGATTCTGTCCCGGTTGCCCCTCTTCCAGGCCAGCTCTCTGCTGTGGCCCAGGAGGGCAGTGGAGGATGGCCCAGGTCCTTGGGCCCTGCACCCACATGGGAGACCAGGAGAAGCACCTGGCTCCTGGCTTCGGATTGGTGTGGCACCGGCTGCAGCGGCCATTGGAGGGTGAACCAATGGCAAAAGGAAGACCTTTCTCTCTGTCTCTCGCTCTCACTCTCCACTCTGCCTTTAAAAAAAAAAATTAAAAAAAAAAAAACCTCTACATTTTAAAGGATTTACTTATGTATTTGAGAGGCAGAGTTACAGAGAGAGAGTTCTTCCATCCACAGGTACACTCCCCAAATGGCCACAGCAGTGGAGCTGGGCCTATCCGGAGCCAGGAGGCAGGAGCTTCTCCCAGATCTCCAAGGGGGTATGGGAGCCTAAGCACGTGAGCTGTCCTCTGCTGTTCTCCTAGGCACACCAGCAGCGAGCTGGACTGGAAGCAGTGCAGCCGGGACTCGAACCGGTGCCCACATGGGACGCCAGCACTGCAGGCAATGGCTTATCCCACTACGCCACAGCGCTGGCCCCTCAAGATTGCTCTTAAAGAGCCAGTTAATTCTGTAATGGCTGAACTGGGTTGGGAGAAATTCTTGCTTCGTATAGCAGAGGAAAACACCTTGGCAGGTAGAGAAAGCAGTTAGATGTAGTATTTTGAACATTTCCTTCTGTATTTTTAAATAATATTTATTTAAAGACAGAGGTCTTGCTTCTGCTGGTTCATGCCCCTATGTGCCCATAATGACTGGGGCTGGGCCAGGCTGAAGCTGGGAACTCGGTCCAGGTCTCCCTCGTGGGTGGCAGAGACCCAGCCGTCACGGCTGCCTCCCAGGGTGCACATGAGCAGGAAGCTGGAATGGAAGTGGAGCTGGGACTCGACACTGTGCTGATACGGGATGCAGGCGTCCCGAGAGGACTCTTAACTGCTGTACCCAGCGTCTCCACACCCTGTCCTTTCGTGTTTGATCCTCTCTGCTCTCGCCTGGAAAGTCTGCGAGCGCTCACGATGATGCGGGTGGCTCTGTCACCCGCGCGCACTTCTGCAACCTTCCTGTGGGTCCCTTAGTGATTTTGGACACAGCGAGCGCACAGCCGCTTTCTCTTCACGTCCAGGTGCTGTGCAGGTCTAAGAACAGCATCCTCAGGGAATGCTTCCTGGTGGCCGAGTTGGAGAACCGCCGGAGGCCGCCCACGGTGAGTGCACAAGATGCGCCCAAAGGACTGGAGAGGGAAGAGGAGCCACCTGGGAGCGCACAGGCCTCGGGTCCCCTGCACTGTGACGCTGCCCCTCTCCATTTCTGGAAGCATCCCTCTGTAATGGATCCTGCTAAATGTGTTCTTCCTGCGTGGTTCGCGCCTGTTCGTGCACCTGCAGGCATTCCCTCGTGCACCTGCTGCAGGCCAGGGGTCAGCAGTAACGAGCCAGCCAAGATAGCTCTCCTCAACAGGCTGGCCAACCCGGGGGAGAGGGCAGAGGAATACATCCTCAAATAACACAGAACTTGGGGGGGGGGGGGCGTCAGGAAACACAAGGGGAGGTGGCAGAGAGTGGCAGGGCTCAGCTATAGCACGGGGTTCCCGGGATTCCCGGGAGCGCTCCTCGTGGCCGTCCTGGACGGACGGCGTGTCCAGCTTCCGTGGCACCAGCCCAGCCCTGAGCATCTCCACTTCTCGAGGCCTCCAAAGCCACCTCTCAGTGGGGCCAAAGGGAAGAAGGGGCAGGGCCACCTGCGGAGGGTTGGGTTGTAAGGCGCCACGCGCTCTGTGTTGCCCCGGGAAGCAGCGGCGTCGACTCGGCTCGTGCTCTCTCTGCGCAGGTGGGGACGCAGTTCAAGAACAGCCTGAGCAGCCTCCTGGAGATCCTCATCTCCAAGGAGCCCTCATACATCCGCTGCATCAAGCCCAACGAGAGGAAGGAACCCAGTGAGTTACACGTCATCCTGGGCGCCCAGCTCGGAGGCCGGGGCAGCCCTGGGTTCTGATGCCAGGAGGCTGCCTCGTAGCCCCCGGGACAAGAACCCATTTCATTTTGTAAGACGTTTCAATGTTGTTTTTAAAGGGACTTCAATTGAAAGGTGGAGAGAAAGGGATCTCCCATCTGCTGGTCCACTCCCCCTGACCCCAAATGCCTGCCGACAGCCAGAGCTGGGTCAGGCCAGAGTCGGGAGCTGACGTCTCAACCCAGGTCTCCCACGTGGGTGGCAGGGACCTGACTCCTTGAGCCATCCCTGCTGCCCCCAGGGCGTGTGTTAGCAGGGAGCCGGGCTTGGAGGCAGAGCTGAGGCTAAAACCCAGGCATGCAGCATGGGGTGCTGGCATCGCAAGCGTCTTGTCCACTCTACCGAATGCCCGCCCCTGTTCGCCTGTTTAAATGGTAGAGGGTAGGGGCCTGTGTCGCGGTGCAGTGGGCTAAGCTTCCACCTGCAATGCCAGCACCCGTATCGGAGCACTGCAGTGAGTCCCAGCTGCTCTGCTTCCAGTCAAGCTCCCTGCTCATGTGCCCAGGAAGGCAGCAGACGATAGCCCAAGTGCTTGGGACCCTACTGTGCGTGCAGGAGGCCCGGATGGAGCTCCAGGCTCCCAGCTTTGGCCCTGGCCATTGCAGTCATTTGGGGGGTGAACTAGTGGATGGAATCTCTCTGCTTCTTCCTCTTTCTCTGTTACTCTGCCTTTCAAATAAATAAAATGTGTCTTTAAAAATATAAAAATGGGGGCTGGTGCTGTGGCATAGCAGGTAAAGCCACTGCCTGCAGTGCCGGAATCCCGTGTAGGTACAGGTTCGAGTCCTGGCTGCTCCTCTTCCTATCCAGCTCTCTGCTGTGGCCCAAATGGGGGACCCGGAAGAAGCTCCTGGCTTCCAATGGGTCCAGGTCTGGCCATTGCAGCCATTTGGGGAGTGAACCAGCAGATGGAAGACATCTCTCTCTCTCTGCCTATGCCTCTCTGTAACTTTGCCTTTTAAACAAATAAATAAATCTTTAATATATATGCACGTAAAAATGTTTGGAAGAAAAAAGAGGGTAAATGAATCAGGAAGGGGTCCCATGTGAGCACTGCTTAGAGGCTGCCCGTCTGAGGAGCAGCACAGCTCAGCCGGGCCAGATGGAGGAGGTGAGAGGAGGCAGCATCACTTCTCTCCAGCTAGTGAACCACCTTCTAGAATGGTCCATGACCTGGGGATTTTCTAAGCTCTTGCTGTGGTGGATTCGTACAGTCCTGCGGATAGAGGTGTGCAGAGGCCTGGTCAGACGAGCAAATGGATAAAGCAGATTGGGTGTGAGGCAATTGGGGATGGTGGGGGCTGCAGCCACCTGGGGACAGACACCCTGTCAAAGCGGTGGCCGCACCAGTCCCTTCTGGCTAGGTGTTGCCATGTGAGACTCCAGGCCCAGGATGGCTGGATCTCGCGATTTTTCAAAAGAATTTGAAAAATCTAGACTTTTTTCCTATAAGATCTACCTGTTTGAAAACCACAGTCGAGGGGCAGACATCTGGTGCAGTGGGTAAGCCACCGCTCTTGGTGCTCGCGTGTCAGGGTGCCGGGCCGGAGTCTCGGCCCCTCTGCTTCCCATCCAGCTTCCTGCTGATGTGGGCAGGAGGCGATGGCGCAAGTGCTGGGGTCCCTGCCGGCCACGTGGGAGGCCTGGGGGGAGTTCCACGCTCCTGGCTTTGACCTGGCCCAGCCCTGGTTATCACAGGTGTTGGGGAAGTGAACCAGCCCATCACTTTTTCTGCCTTTCAAATAAAATGAAAATAAACGCTGTTGGCAAGTGTGTGTTTTAAGAACAAAATCATGGCCTGAAAGAATGGGCTATCAGTTTGTGGCCTCTGCTCTGGATGAGACGGAGCCGTTGGGTGCCTGACCGTGGTTCTCGCCTCTTTCTCCCAAGGCAAGTTCGACGACCTTCTCATAAGGCACCAGATCAAATACCTGGGGCTGATGGAGCACCTGCGGGTGAGGCGGGCCGGCTTCGCGTACCGGCGCAAGTACGAGCATTTCTTGCAGAGGTAAAGTTGGCTTTGTGGGGCTGAAGCCGATGAAGTCACGCGCCTGCCTGCCTGCCGGGGTACTTGATGGCTTTGTGAAGTAACAGAATTAAAAGACAGGTTTGGGGCTGGCGTTGTGGTCCAGCAGGTTAAGTGTGACATCCGCCTGTGACGCTGGCCCTGCTGCTCCTCTTCCTGACCCAGCTCGCTGCAAACGTGCCTGGGCAAGCAGCAGGCGATGGCTCCGGTGCCTGGGCCCCTGCAATCCACATGGGAGACCTGGCTGTAGTTCCCGACTCCTGGCTTTGGTCTGGCCCAGCCCTAGTGTTGCAGCCATTTGGGGAGTGAACCAGGAGATCAGAGATCCATTTCTCCCTCCCTCTCTCCCTCTCCCCCCTCCCTGTGCCTTTGAAATAAATCTTTTTTAAGTTTTTATTTTGGTACAAGAAATTTAGAAACTCATGCCTGGCTTTTTTCATAATATGCCTTTCCCACACACTTTCTAAAGAGCTTCAACTTTTTTTTTTTTTTTTTTTTTTTTTTTTGCACCAAAAGTGATCTTTTCATTGTTCTGTGGACTTTATGAAATATCCTCATGGTATGTGCAAGTCTCTGGGATAAGCTAGTAAATGACATGGCATCCATCAGGGAACTCGGCTTATTAAGGGCTATATCTAGGACACTAAAACAAAACAAAACAAAAAAATCCTAGCATTTTGGAGAACATGAAAACCCAAGTCGATTTCCCCTTCACTGTGCTCTAAGCCCTAACTTGTGAATCAAGGATGGGCAAGGCCAAGTGCATGGACCTGCCACCAGGGGGCAGATGTGGGCAGTGTCCGTCTTGGGTCTGACCCAGCTGTTTAGAATTCGATGCTGGTTTGGGGTCTTGGCCTCATGGGTGTTAACAGTGGGTGTTAGTGGTGGGGAGCCACATGCCTGGGTCCAAATCCTCATGCTGTCTTCTAAGAGTTGTGTCCATCTCCTTGCCTGTAGCGTGAAAGTTAGGGTGTCTGCCCTCAGGAGGTTCATGGGATTTAATGATATGCCCCCCACCCCCCACGCTACTCACACACCAACCCATCTTTGGTGAGCTGGTGCTACTGAAATGGCAACACAGGGGCCAGTGCTGTGACAGCCAGCACTCGCAATACCCGCAGTCCATGTCCAAGTGACAGCGGGAATCCTGGCTACACTTTCTCTGATCCAGCCTGCTCCCGACGTGCGTGGGAGGGCAATGGAGGATGACCCAAGTGCTTGGAGCCCTGAAACCTGTGTGGGAGGCCAGGACGGAGTTCTTGGCTCCTGGCTTCGGCCTGACCCAGCCTGGGCTGTTGCAGTCATTTAGGGAGTGAATCGTTTATTGAGCTTGGTCTGTACCAAACACTGTACGTGCATTACCTCCCTTGAAGCCTCGGCACAGCCCCGTGAGGAAGGGCCTGTTACTGTTCACACTGCACAGGGAAGGACCTAAAGTGACTGCTCTGGTTCCTGAGCTGGGCGGGAAGCCAGCAGTCCGAGCCCCGTCCGGCTCCTCCCACAGTGTTGCCTCTAGCCTTGCTTCACAGGTACCTGTGAACTCTGCGTTCACCTGCTGCCTGAGGTTGGTGAATCACGGTGAACTTTAGTGGTGTGGACGAAGGACACACCTGCGGAGTCAGGTTCTTAAGTCCACATTGGAGCCAGAATTACCCTTGGGAAATACTTCTTGTCACTTCCCAAGCGTGCTAGCTTTTCCGATTTGTCTGTTCATTGGTTTTTGTGGCTGTGGTGAATTAAGCTGCTACTGATGTACTTTTAAAAAACAAGGTTTAGGGGCCAGCACTGTGACGTAGCAGGTAAAGCTGCCACCTGCAGCACCGGCATCCCATATGGGCACCAATTCGAGTCCCGGCTGCTCCACTTCTGATCCAGCTCTCTGCTATGGCCTGGGAAAGCAGTAGAAGGTGGCCCAAGTTCTTGGGCCCCTGAACCTGCCTGGGAGACCCAGAAGACACTCCAGGCTCCTGGCTCCTGATCAGCCCAGCTCCAGCCATTGTGGCCACTGGGCAGTGAACCAGTGGATGGATGACCTCTCTCCCTCTGCCTCTCCTGTAACTCTTTCAAATTAATAAATCTTAAAAAAAAAAACCACAAAGGTTTATTTATTTGAAAGGCAGAGTTACAAAGAGAGGGAGAGAGCGAGCTTCCATCCACCAATTCATTCCCCAAATGGCCACAACAGCCAGGACTAGGCCAGGCTGAAACTGGAAGCTCCATGTGGGTCTCCCACAGTGGCTCAAGCACTTGGGTCACCTCCCACTGCTTTGCCAGGTGCATTAGCAGGGAGCTGGATAGAAAGTGGAGCAGCCGGGACTTGAACCATCACTGATATGGGATGCTGGAGTTGCAGGGGGAGGTTTACCTCACTGCACCACAGCACCGGCTCCTGCTGTGAACACTCTTGTACGAGTTGTATACGTGGACCCGTGTTTTCATCTCTTAGATATTTAAAGGATCCTCAGAATGTTTGCTGAAAACATGCATTAGCTCTCAAGTCCACTTTCCCAAGAACTCTTCAAAGTAGCCTCACATAGCTAGGAGTGAGACAGAGTTAGCCAGCCTCCCTCACATAGCCAGGAGTGAGACAGAGTTAGCCAGCCTCCCTCACATAGCTAGGAGTGAGATGGAGTTAACCAGCCTCCCTCACATAGCCAGGAGTGAGACAGAGTTAACCAGCCTCCCTCACATAGCTAGGAGCAAGATGGAGTTAACCAGCCTCCCTCACATAGCTAGGAGTGAGATGGAGTTAACCAGCCTCCCTCACATAGCCAGGAGTGAGATGGAGTTCATAGCCTCCCTCACATAGCTAGGAGCGAGATGGAGTTAACCAGCCTCCCTCCCATAGCCAGGAGTGAGATGGAGTTAACCAGCCTCCCTCACATAGCTAGGAGTGAGACAGAGTTAACCAGCCTCCCTCACATATCTAGGAGTGAGATGGAGTTAACCAGCCTCCCTCACATAGCCAGGAGTGAGATGGAGTTCATAGCCTCCCTCGTATCCATACAAAGTCCGTCCTATACAATGATGCGGTTTTTGCGCCGATCCCACACACCCTCCTGCAGCTGACTTAGAACAGCTGAGCAGCGGTCGCTCTGTCACTCCGGGAGTTAGGGCAAACGTCTGTTCATGCACAGGACGATTACAGTTGTTCCCAGGGATTTCCTATGCACAGAAGCAGAACCCATGGACATGGGGGGTGGGGGGGCACGAACGTCCTTGGGTTGAGTGTTCGATGACATCGATGCTCTGTGCAGACAGGTTAGGCACCCAGGCTGCTGAGTTTTTTTTTTTTTTTTCCTTGCCACATGTGTGTCCTTGGACCTGAGGAAGCTCATTGGATCAAAACACCACGTTTTACAATGAGCAGCTAAGGCTAAGCAGACCTCTGGGGGTGGGGGTGGGGTGGAGAAAGGGAGAGCCACTGCTCATGTCTGCTTCCTGTCCCTGTAGGTACAAGTCCCTGTGCCCAGACACCTGGCCGCACTGGCGCGGGCCTCCAGCAGAGGGCGTAGAACGTCTCATCAAGTACATTGGCTACAAACCTGAGGAGTACAAGTTAGGGAGGTAAGTGGCCCGGAAGTCGCCGACCACTTTCTTCCCAAAGGTTTCAGGCGTGGATCTGTGTCCATCTATGGCCTGGACATACATTTTATGTGTTTTACGTAGATGAACAAGCATATGTTTCCAGCCACTCAATTTAAACACAGCTCTGGACGGTTAGCAGGAGAGGACCACGAGCCATCCCCTTTGTTCAAGATTTATTTTTACTTACTGGAAAGGCAGAGTTCGAATCTTCCATCTGCTGATCCACTTTCCTAGATGGCTGCAACAGCCAGGGCTGGGCCAGGCTGAAGCCAGGAGCTTCCTCCGGGTCTCCCAGGCAGGTGCAGGGGCTCAAGCACTTGGGCCTTCCTCTGCTGCCCTCCCAGGCACATCAAGCAGGGAGCTGGGGCAGAAGTGAAACAGCCGGGTCTTGAATGCGATCAGTATTTGTGATGTGTCTTGGACGGTTAATGGGGCCGCCTTTCAAACTTGGACTTGCACTCTTTTTAGAAAGCAGAGGAGCACAATTCAAAGCCACTTCAGGTTAGGATAGCGTTGTCCCTTCCTAGGGCCGCACAGCCGATTAGCACAAAGTGACTGCCCTACAGCAACAGCCGCTTAATCCCAAAGTTTCTGGGGGCCACAGGTTCAAAAGCAAGGTGTTGGCAGGACCGCGGCCTCCGGGAGGCGCCTTCCCTGCCCCTTGCAGCTTCTGGTGGCTTGTGGCTGCCTCCCTCTGAGCTTGGCCTCCATCTTCGCGTGGCCGTCTCTGGCGTCTGCTTCCAGGGACACCCTGGTCGCATTCAGGGCTCGGCCTGGAGTCCCGTCTCAGCCCTGCAACCCGCGCAGACGGCTCTGAGCCCCTGAGTGGACGGGGCTGCACCTGAACCCCCTGCAGAGGCTCACTGACCGATTACTAACTAGAGCTTTTTTTTTTCTTCTCACTTCTAGGACCAAGATATTCATCCGTTTCCCCAGAACTTTGTTTGCTACTGAAGATGCCTTTGAATTTAGTAAACATCAATTAGGTAGGATTTTTCTGCCCTGATTTCAACAGACTGCGAAATGAACACGTTTAGCTTGGGGGGTATAAACCTTAAATATGGGTGTCTGAGATCGTGTCGGAACCCAGGACTGAGTGGGGGATGATTAGGTTCACGTGGATCTAACTCATGGGAGTGCAAGATGCACGTGAACTTGTGCTGAACGCATCGGGAGAGGGGTCCTGGATGCGTGCGGAAACTTAATGCTGTTGTGCCCATCCCCCTTCAATTAAGATTTCTAAAACCTCATTTGCGTAACATCTGATGTTGGAAGGGGTAGCCTCAAAGCCCACAGCCAGGCTCTGTGTTGTGGATGATAAACAAGAGAAGTTAATGTGGGAGAAATGTAAGCCACGGAATCATGATGACCGAGAGGGGGACTTGGCCTTGGAGACCCCAGGGGGTCGCAGACAGAGCGTCTACGCCTCAGCGGCCTCGGTGCCTGCTGGAGGCCAGGTGCACACGCGCGCTTTACACCCAGGATCTCACCCGATTCTCTCACCTACAGAGAAGGCAGTGCCATCTCCACTTCACACTCGGGGAAACTGAGGCCCAGATGTACGGGCAACATGCCGAAGGCTGCAGTTAGTAAGCAGCCGAGCCGGGGTCCGAATGTGGTCTGGCGTGTGTCTGCCCTCATCACTGCCATGCCTGCTGGTCTCGTTGTTAATGCCGGCATTGTTGCAGGTTTCATTGTGTAATTTGTTTATTTGAAAGGCAGTGACAGGAGGAGAGCCAGAGATCTTCCATCCAGTGGTTTATTTCCCAGGTGTCTCAACAGCTGGGACTGGGTCAAGCCAAAGCCAGGAGCTCCATCCTGGTCTCCCACGTGGCTGGCAAAGACCCAAGGACTGGGGCCATCACCTGCTGCCTCCCTGGTGTTGTCAGCAGGGAGCTGAGAAGTGGAGATGGGTCTGGAACCGCACTCCCATGGGATGTGGGGGGTCCCAAGTGCTGGCTTAATGCACTGTGCCACAAAGCCTGCCCCTGCTCCTGGTTTGGACCTCTGTGGCAGCGGACACTGCTTACTGAGGATCCATTTGCGGGCAGGTGCTGGCTCAGCTGGGCTGTGGGGCGCCAGATCCGCTCCCAGGGGATGTGACGCTGCTGGTCTTCAAGGCCCTCAATGAACTTGACCTCTGGGGGGGTCCTCAGCAGCTGTGTTGCCTGGAGCCCAGGTCTCCACCCTCTGAGCCTGGACGCCTGGTGGTGGTGACATCACTGTGAAGCCCGTGTATGCCCCGCAGAAAGCAGGCATGAGAATGGAGGTGCCCAGCGTGGGTCTGGGGGCTCTGGGCTCTGGGTCATCAAAGGCAGGAGAGAGACTCCAGTTACGGGAGGGCAGCTGGGACCAGGGGTGGTGTCACCTGCCGCTCTCACATCTGTGATGCTTAACCGAGACCCTCCCTCCTCTGTGGGCCCGAGGGCCATGGCTGATGTCCCCTCTGGAGGGCACAACCACACAGACACATGAATGAAAGCTATTTGACCAAAACTTTTGCTTTATTTTAAGTCGCAAGAATCCAAGCCACATACAAAGGCTGCCTGGGAAGGAGAGACTATGTGAAAAAAAGACAAGCAGGTGAGAGTTCAACAGGAAGTTGTCAGCTGGCGCTGGGCCAGCCCCGTGCCCTTCCCTCTTTTCCACGTGGCCCCTGGGGCCATGGGCGCTTTGGGTTCTCTCTCGTCAGTCCCTGAAACTGCAGGGCAGGGCTGCCTCGAGTTCCAGTTCTGGGGCCTCTTCTCATTTTTTACCGTATCGACTGGAGATTGTTTTGTTTCATCCATAGCACAGACACATTTAAATTTTTTTTTAAGATTTATTTACTTGAAAGGCAGAATTACAGAGATCCATCTTGTATCTGCTGGTTCACTCCCCAAATGGTTTGTGTCCCAGGTGTCCCCAGCAGCTGGGACTGGGCCGGGCTAAAGCCAGGAAGTTCATCCTGGCTTCCCACGTGGCTGGCAGAGACCCAAGTACCTGGGCCTCTTCTGCTTTCCCAGGTGCATCAGCAGGGAGCTGGGGCAGAAGCAGAGCAGCCAGGGCTTGCAGTGGCACTCAGAGGGATGCTGACCTCACAGCTGTTGGCTGAACCCACTCCACCGGCCCCTTAATTTATTTTTAAAGCCACACAGATGTGTGTGGACTTTGCTGTTCATTCCTGCACAGGGTTCTGTTAGCTCACATCAGCAAAGCAGTCCACACTGAAGACTTGAGTCGTCTCTGTCACAGCGACCCCACTCTGCTGTTGTCACACGGAAGCAGCAGGCAGCACACAAGTGAACAGGTGCGGCTGTACTGCAGTACAGTTGCGTCAGAAATGGGCAGCCAGCCCTGGTTGTGTGAGCCTGGCCCACCCTCCCTATCCGGAGGCTCAGGCCTCCATAGATTCAACGGAGGAATGAAAATACATTTTTAAAATAAACTGCATCTGGGGCTGGCGCTGTGGCACAGCAGGTTAAGGCCCCAGCCTGTGGTGCCGGCATCCCATATGGGTGCTGGTTCGAGTCCCAGCTGCTGCACTTCCGGCTCTCTGCTATGGCCTGGGAAAGCAGTAGAAGATGGCCCAAGTGCTTGGGTCCCTGCACCCGCATGGGAGACCCAGAAGCTCCTGGCTTCGGATCAGCTTAGCTCTGGCCGTTGTGGTCATTTGGGGAGTGAACCAGCAGAATGGAAGACCTCTCTCTCTCTCTCTCTGGCTCTACTTCTCTCTCTAACTCTTTCAAATAAATCTTTTTTAAAAAAAATAAACTGTATCTGTACTGAACATGTGCAGAATGTTTTCTTATTTTAGTATTTTCTCTTTCCCTAAACAGCTATTTCTATAGCATTTTCATTGTACCAGGGGTCATTAAGTCATCTAGAGTTGACGTAAAGGATTCGGTTGGCTGGGTGCAGGTTATAGGCAAACACTGGAGCCCTGGGAGTGGGGGTGCCCTGGCCCCAAGCCCCTGTGAGCACCGAGGGACATTTGGGGGCGTCCAGTTGCCAGTTTGCTTCTGTAACACGAACAGTGCTCCTGTGGGGAATCAAAGCACCCCAAAACCTGAAAAACATTCAGCTGTGGGGAGGTGAGGCAGCATCCGGTGTTTGTGTCCTCATTCTGAAATGTCACCAACTGAGTGGGAGGAATCGCTGCATGAAATGAACCAAACACAGTGGGGAGCTCCCCGACCCCGTCACAGCGGCCACCCCCGCTCCCTCCTGTGGTCTCGGGCTTCCCAAGGCACTCTCTGCCCTCCTGTCCCCCCGCTCAGCTGTCCGTCCCGGTGCCTGGGCGGGCATCAGGCGTGTACCAAGTGCGTGGGTGCTTCTGGAAAAGCCTTGTTTGCCCACCGTTGTGCTCGCCTTGTAACACCAGCAGTGACCTCTTTCAGCCATCAAACTAGAAGCCCACTGGCGGGGAGCCCTGGCCCGGATGGAGACGCACAGGAGGAAGTGGGCCGTGCAGATTGTGAGGAAGTGAGTCCTTGCATATGGCGGGGCGAGGTCGCTGGAAGCTGGCGCACTGTGGGGGATGCCAGGGGCTGAGTCTGGGGGCCTTCTGGATGCTGTTCCCCTTGGGGTGCTATGAGGAATTCAGGTCCATGTCCGGGCCTAGAGCTCCTCATCTCGGTGACAATCACAGCCCAGTACAGTTGCTCCTCTTCCCGTTGCCCCAGTCACTCCAGGCAGGCGGAGTGAGTGGCTCTCCTGGGCTGGCCTGAGACAGCAGGGTAGGGTGTGGACTGCGACACAGTGGGGAGGCTGGGTCCGCTTCCAGGGGTGGTCACTGTTCTGCTCTATTTGACTGCTGCTGTGAAGGGAGGGCCTGGCTGGTGCTGCCAGCCTGGCCCTTCAAGCTGAACTCTGCCTCTTTTGTAATGGTACTCATATTTTTGATTGGCAAGACATCCAAGCTACGCAAAACAAAAAGCGAGTGAAACGAGGTGTGCCTTTGGGGAAGCTTTGGCCTGTAGGCGCCGCTGCACTCCCACCGCCGCCTCCCCGCCAGGCTACTAAACTCTTCCTTGGCAGGTTCATCAAGGGCTTCATCCACCGCAAAGAGCCCCTCTGCCCAGCCGACGAGGACTTCGTCCTCCTCGTGCGCAAGAACTACATTCTGAACCTGCGGTATCACGTCCCCAAGACCGTCTTGGACAAGAGCTGGCTGAGGCCGCCCGGCATCTTGGACAATGTGAGGACTAAACTGGGAATCCGAGGCTGCATGGGGCCCAGCGTCCGCCTTTCTCTCTGCCGCCCCCTCAGCACAGCAGTGCCCGGTAAAGGCTCTGGCCCAGAGGTTAAGATGGCCGTGTCTGCTATCAGAGGGCCTGGGTTCCAGTTCAAGCTCCAGCTCCCCGCTAATGCAGACCCCCGGGGTGCTGGGGGTGGCTGGGGAAGTTGAGTCCTTGCCTCTCATGTGGGAGCCCTGAATTGAGTTCTGACTCCCAGCTTGGCCTAGCCCGGCCCTGGCTATTGCAGACTTTTGAGGAGTGAATTAGTGGCTGGGAGCTCTATTGCTTAAATAATAATAAAAATTAAGAGATTTAGCTCCTCAGGATTGGTGATATCCCTACGTATATCATAAAGCTGAGGAGGTCCATTTACATACTTCTGAATGACTTCCCTCGGGATGTGCCCTTCCAGCTGGGTTAGAGACCCTGGCCTAGGACAGGGTTTCTCACAACAGTCCCAGGCCTCTCCATCTTGAGAGCATATAGTGGGGGCTACGGGCAGATTCCTGGGCTTCATCCTGGCCCTACTGAGCCAGAATCTCCAGGAAGCTCCTTAGAGCCAGCTCCGTGGATGTCTCCTAAACATACTCCAGTTTGAGGACCACTCGTTACCCAATGGCAACAAGAGCAAGACTGGAAGTTAGCTGCTTGCTCTGGCTCTAAAAGCTACAGTAGTTGTATACTTGAAATCCAACAGAATTCAACTGTATTCTTTTAAGATTGTATTTATTTGAGAGGTATAGTTACAGAGAGAGACAAAGGTCTTCCATCTGCTGGTTCACTCCCCAAATGGCCACAACGGCCGGAGCCGAGCCGTTCCGGAACCAGGAGCTTCCTCGGGGTCTCCCACGCAGGTGCAGGGGCCCAAGGACTTGGGCCATCTTCTACTGCTTTCCCAAGCCATAGCAGAGAGCTGGATCAGAAGTGGAGCAGCCGGGACTCGAACCGGCGCCCATATGGGAATGCAGGCACAGCAGGCGGTCCTTGAACCCACTAAGCCACAGCACTGGCCCTCACCTGTATTCTTAAAGCCTTTGGTTTGGCTGCCAAATCCCAAGACAGGGCGGTCAGTGAGGCAGGTGCAAAGCAAGTGTGTTCTCCACGCAGGTTTCCACTCTGCTCAGGAAAATGTGCACGAGGAACCTGGTGCGGAAGTATTGCCATGGGATCACGGCCGAGTGGAAAGCGATGGTAGGGATGTGACGCTGGCAGGGTGACGCAGGGCCCGAGCGTGGGCCCTGCACATGGACTTGGGAGCGTCAGGAGTCCTGGTCCACCCTTTCAGCCCCAGGCCCAGGGCTGTGCTAGCCCCATGCTTGCCTTGTCGATGAGTTGAGGATAAATGCACGTAGACCTTGGTGAGCATTGGCTGTTGCTGCCATCAGCATCACTTGTTGCCATGGGAACACAACCCAGATGGCCCCTGAACCGCAAAAACACAGGACCCCTTCTGCTGCAGGTCTTTGCTGTAAAGGGCCAATGTTTCAGGCTCTGTGTCAGTCACAGAGCACGAAAGCAGCCGGCCACACTCAACATGTCAATGGATGGCACGGCTGTGTGCCAACGTTTACAGACAGCAGGCTGCGTTGGGCCAACAGGCTAGTTTGCCGATCTCTGACCTAGAAGAAAGAAAACTGCTCTCTGAGGGACTGAAAACGACTTTGAGGAAGCAAGCAGGAGCACCCAGCGCCCACTGCTGGCTGTATGACGTTTAGGGCACTGCACTGACTCCCCTGCCCATCCCCTGGCTCCTGGAGTTAGGCAGCAGTGTGTGATACTGTGGGTCCCCAGTTCCCTAGCCCATGGACGGTGTTTGGTGCAGCCCTTAGGCTGCTCCTTAGCCCACCTGCACCCAATTCCAGCTTCCTGCTGATGCAGCCCCTGGGAGGCAGCAAGCAGTGGTTCAAGTACGTGGGTCTCAGACTCCAACATGAGACAGCTGTGGCCTGGCCCAGCCTTGCTCACTGCAGACATCCAGAGAGTGAACCAGTGGGCTGGGGGAGCGCTCTCTCGCTCGCTCGCTCTCTCTCTCAAATGCAGAACATGAGACTTTGCTCCTTGGGATCCTTGCTGGGGGCTCGGGGGGGGGGGGGGGTTCACTTAGAGCACTTCCTGGCTGTTGCAGCCATATGGGTGAACCAGTAGACGAAAGATCCCTTGTCTCCGTGCCTTTCAAGTGAATGTTAGAGCTCCGTGGCTATGGGTTTTGTGCCTTTGTCTTCCTAGATGCAGCAGAAGGTGGTCGCTAGTGAGATATTCCGGGGAAAGAAGGCAGGCTATGCAGAAAGCTTAACTCGGCCCTTTGCCAACAGTCGGATAGGTACGTGCTCTGATCCGTACGCCACCCACCTTCCCAAGTCCACCTTCAGAAGCACGGTTCTGCAGCACTTCCCCATGGCCGTCTCCCCAGCTGGCCTCGGCACAGAGAGCAGTGGTTTGTCCACGGGGCTGGGGTTTAGCCGTGACTCATGGTGTTCTGGTTCCCTCCCTAGAGGAAGGAGACATTAACCCCAAAGTGCTTCAAGTGATCAGCAACGAGAACCTCCAGGTAAGGGAGTGTGTGTGTGTGTCCTCAGCCTCAAACAGGATTCCCTGCTTGAGGGTGAGAACAGGTGTGTGTTCTCCGTGAAACCTGTCTTGGAAGCGCTGTTTAAATACGGGGTGCAGAGCTCTACCTGACACTCTGGGTATTGACTATAGATGACCTATGACCATTCCACACCTCCTGCTGCTCTTACTAGGGCCTTCCTCCATCACCCTAGAAGCTGAGTTAGCCATGAACTCGATCACAAAATAGCCCTGGATTAGTGAGGCACCGGGTGCTGACGCTGGCTTCCCAGTAGCAGGGAGACGCCGAGCCGGTCCCTGAAGCTTGAAAACAAGGTCACCAAGAGGCTCAACGAGGGGCACAAAGTGCTTTGGCTGCTGCCTGGCCTGGGGCGCTGGTGTGCTTTGGGGCCTCCCTCTCCCCTTGGCCCTGGAGGACAGAAGCCTGGGCGAGTGGATCTATGTCCCCTCCAGGAGCAGACCCAGGAGGCAGGTGGCCGTGCCTCTGACTTCTTCAGGGGGCACCTCAGTCGGGCAGAGCTGGGGAGCGAATCTTCCAGGGCGAGCTAGGCAGAGAAATGATCGCGTGTGCAGCCTCTCTGACCACCCAAAGCCCCCCGCCCGGGGTCTGAGCACAGAGAAACCCCATGGTGACGTCCCCTCCTTGCAGTACGCCGTCCCGGTCACCAAGTATGACAGGAAAGGCTTCAGGGCGCGGCAGCGCCAACTCCTCCTGACGCAGAAGGCAGCTTATGTGGTGGAACTGGCCAAGGTCAAGCAGAAAATAAACTACGCGGCACTCAGAGGTAGGACACAGCCCTGGCTGGCTCGATGGCTGCTCAACCCGTCAGGAAGTGGCCTGCAGTGGCAGACCCGAGTGTAGGGGGCTCCTGCGCCCAGGGCTGCCTGTCTTCTAGCACAAGGATCGAAACCAGCCCCCGCTGCCCTCAAGCATCCGGGCGGGACAACAGTCACCTTCCACACCGGCCTGTTTTTATCACCTCACGCCCACCGGTGGCCTTAGCTCTGGAGCCTGCCCTTGCTCCTCTCGGGTAGAGGTCAAGCTGGCCCCTAACTTGGGATCTGTCCTCAGGTGTCTCCACCAGCAACTTGAGTGACGGAATCTTCGTCATCCACGTCTCACCCGAGGACAGCAGGCACAAGGTAAGTGGCGGCCACCACGCGCCCTCCACCTTTATGCATTTTCCTTCTGAGCCTCAAGTGCTGACCTGCCGTGCGGTCTGCTCTCCACCCAGGGGGACGTCATCTTACAGTGTGAACACGTGTTTGAAGCCGTCACCAAGCTCGTCATGCTGGTTAAGAGGGAGGACCTCGTGAACGTCGTCCAAGGAAGGTAGGCGCCTCTGTCTTCACGTCAGTGTTCATAAACAGGTCAAGGAAGTTGCGACCGTGAACTTCCTCCACCCACGTCGGCCACCAGGGGTGGGGCAGGTGCACCCCCTGGGCCAGCCAGCGCAGGTGAGGGACACTGCTGGGCTCCAGCTGCCGATGGAGCAGGAGTCTGAGCACACAGGGCTGCCACACCCAGTCTGCTTATCGATTTGGAAACTCGAGATTTCTGAAATTTCTCTAGGGTATCAAAAATACCTGGCACACAGAATTTAATACTGTTTTTTCATTCTCGTTCCACTCTCTCAGGTTAGGCAGGTGGGAACAAAGTGGCAGAGCTGGAGGGGAGGGCCCCTGTGGGTTCTCAGGCTCAGCCCTGACCACGGGAGGCCCCATCAGAGCCACAGCTTCTCTCCCCTGCTCCGTGACTGTGTCCAGCACATGGCTGCCTTTACAACCTGACGTATGAACGTGGAGCTGTTTGTTTCACCGGGGGAACACTTAATCCACTCTAAATTCAGCAGGAAGAGGCACGGATGGCTCCTTGGACATCAGACTGACCCTTGGAACACCTGGTGGACTAAACGGATTTTAGAGAATCTAGATCAGTTACCTGGCTATAGAAATGGCTATTTCTTTTGATCAACTGTGATTCAATATACCAGTAATGTGTCCCTCTATTTCAAGTTTACAGTTTTATATTAGTCCTGGAAAAGAAGGCACAATAGTTTTTGACACTGGACCGGAAGAACAGATCTACAAAGATAAAAACGGACAGTTGACAGTGGTGAGTGGCTGGGCGTGGGGAGAGGCAGGCAGGGTTAGAATGCTCTCCCCTTCAGGGCTGTCGAGTGAGCCCATCTCCCCTCCACTGATGCTGTGTCGCAAAGGCGGGAGGAAACGGAGGGCAGAGGTGTGGGGCAACACTGAATGGAACGGTGCCCGTGTGTGCTCAGGGAACCTCAACTTTAAATGCCGAAGTCCAGATGTTCAGAGGCTGACCTCTGCCCTATACTTGTGACAGTGGCTCTCAAACTGGTCCCCAGACACTGTGAGCTCTTTGGGCATCGGCCCAGCCAATCTTTGCAGTGCACCTTGGATTTACAGAGCACTGCTGTTTGAGGTGCTGATAGCTCATACACGTTTAAACATCAACGTAAACATAACTGCCCCTTCAGGGACAGTCAGCTGAGGGGCTGTCCTTGGCAGTCGTCCACGTCACTCTGCCTGACAGGTGTCATCAGGGAGCCACTTTCTACACCTGCCTTGGCTCGTGTCTCTAATGCTAGGTGCCTCTGCCCCAGGTGTCGGTCCGGAGGAAGTCCTGATGGAGGATGGCACCTGACCCCTGTCGTCGCCGCTTCTGCTCCTCCTCGGGAATTTGATCCGGTTAGCTGTGTCTGCAAGGAAACCTTCCAGAAGCTGGAGGACAAGGCTCGCGGCTGAAGAAAGTAGCGTGTTCACTGCAGCCTACACCCAGCCTCTCCACGGCCCTGCGGCACTCTTCAAACACCTGCTTCCAGGAACCAACTTGGTCAAGGGGGAGTGGCTTTAACGTCACAGACAGGCCCTGCCCTCAGCGGGCACTTCAACACATACAGATAGGCTGCCCCGGGCCCCATTCTGAAATGTCACGTATGGGCTAAGTAAATGAGATTTTATAAAGCTCCAGAATTTGAAGTTTGCTTTAAATGGATTTTGGTTAAGTGTCTTGGGTCCCAGGTGGTGAATGGAGCGAGTCTTCCGTGCTAAGAGGAGTCCCCCCTCCACCCCCCCAACCTCGAGCCTTCCCTGTAGTGTTCAGGCTTGAACAGGGCAGCCCCAGCACTCCTCTCCGCCTCCCACCCGAGCTGTTCCAGGCAGGGAGCAGGATGCAGGACCCCACCTCACCCTCTGCACTCTCACCCCCACTGGGCATTGCTGAAAAGAGCCAGAGGACACACTGGAACAGAAGCATGATGCTTTTATTTTACATACGTCCACGATGCTTGTACACAGACAGTGACTAGTGCAGGGACAGAGGGAAATGACACGAAGATACGCTACGGCGGCGACTTTGGTGGAGCCCGAAAGCCAGGAACCCAGCCCCTGGTCACCACAACCGGAAGACTTATTCCAAGCAAACGGAACTTGTGTAGATCAGACCAAAAGCTGTTTCCTTTTTTAAACTGGAAGCTAACACAATGCAATAAAAGCTTACTCTTTACCAAATCTCAGACCAGTGTTTTACTTGGACGGCTCTTAAATAGGAACAGTAACTTCTGCTCCTAGTGCTGGCGTGAGAAGAATCGAATCCTTTTGCAGTACACTGGATTGCAGAACTTGGACCAGCCACCACTGGCTGCTGTCGGCTCCAGGCCAGATGCAGCTTCGCAGTATCGTTCACCATGGAATGTTTTACAAACCTGTTCACGTCCCAGGGAGGCCAGAGACAAACCCGGAGACGTGAAGGTAGAGCGAGCTGCCCGAAATGTTAAGCCACAAGGAATAAAAGCCAAACAGATCAGATTGTCCACAGACACTGAAAAACTAGAATGCACACAATGGCTTTTCTTTTCCTACACAAAACAGAACTGACATCCACTTTGACTTTCTACAAAAATTCAACCCAAACGGCAGGGCTGGTGTTCAGAACTTAAACAGTAGAAAATATTTACGAAACGTTGTTTTGTAAGCCCCCTTTCCTTAGCACTTAATAAAACCCAAACGGCCTTGTAGAAAAGTTTCCCCTGTAACAGGTTAAAAAGCAAATACCCCGTAAGTGATTTGTAGGTTCAGTCATGATTGCAGGCTTTGCTGCTGGGTACAAAATAGAGGCGTCCAATTGTCGCAGGGAGGGCAGCGCCAACAATGTCCCCACTGTAAGAACCAACAGTTTGGGCCTCACAGGGTGTCAAAGGCTGCCCACGTTAATACCTTTGGTATAAACAGTCACAATTCCCTTGAGAAGCAGACAGAACCATCCACGACCTGGCACACACACACTCTCCCATGGCCCTCTAACTGCTCTACCTCATCTAGTCTCAACCACCCATACCAGTCATGACTCGCTTCTGCTGCTCCGCACGCGCAGAGGAAGCTGGGAGGTAGGTCACTGAGAACATCCGTCCGACACGGCACCGGGCCGACAGCCGAGCTCCAGCGCAGGCTGCCGGTGCCCACGAGCACACATCCCACCCACAGTCACACACATCCCCTAAACAGACACAAACGTGAACGCAAACCAGACCCAAAGGTATCTGCACACCCCCTCTCAACCTGCTCCCTGGAGGCCACTCCATTCTGCACAAAACTCCAACACGAGAAGGGGCTCCCCAGGGGCAGGTGGTGTGAGTGGGGGTCCCCTTGGGGCAGTAAGCCCAGCGCAACAGGGAAGGAGCGGCCTCGGGGGAGCAGCAGTTTGGAGCTCCGCCTGGAATGGGTGGATTAACAGGAACGTGGCTGGAGGGAACACGGAGCTGGGAAGGGAGCTTGGCCCTCACTGTCAGGGAGAGCTCAGCTCCGGGCCAGATGGGGCGGGACGCGGCCCAGCCATCACCAGACCAGAGCCCAGTCACGGCAGTGAAAGGTTGGCTCCTTACACCAGGCTTTGCCCTCAGGAACAGCAGTGTGGACGCACGAAGCTCCTGGGGTCCTATTCCCACTGCTGCCCGCTGCAGGCACACCACACTGCAGGGCAGGCATGCAGAGCAACTATGGAGCCTTGTGCTCGGTCACCACGCACAGGAGCCAGGCTGCGGGGTCACAGGTCAGGAAGCGGGCGGCTCCCAGACACCTCTGCCTGGCACGGCCGGCTGCAGAACCTCTCAGAGCCGTCAGACCGCAAGAACTCGGAGGCCGGAACACCCACAAATAAATACTGCAGACAACAGCTCTCATGGCAGGCAGGCACGCACTCGCACTCACACTCCTCCGAGAACTCAGAGGGCCTGGCCCAGAGACCTGCTTCCTCCAGAAAGCAGAGGCATTAGAAACAATAAAGGTGCAGATGCCTGGGTGAGACAGAATCACGTCACCTGGTCGAGAAATAGCAAAATATCATCCAGTTTGTTACAAAAGTATCCGCAGACTCCAGGGGCAGGGTCTGAGCGAGGCGGGGAGGGCGGCGGAGGGCGGAGGGCGGCGTGGTCCGCTTGCCTGCTCACTGGTGGAGGTGGGCCCGGTCGTCGGGGCGCTTGATGTGGATCCGTCGCACGCGCTCAATCCGCTCCCGCTCTCGCTCCTCATCCTCGTCCAAGTGGTGGGAGCGCCCGGCGGCCCCGCCCGTGGCCTCCAGGAGTGCATTGTCAGGTCCCCGGCCATCCTGGGCCTCATACAGCAAAATATTCAGGGTCTCCTCGTAAATTCTGGCTTCAGGGAACTCCACCTGTGTCCCCACAGAACACACGGCAGGTCAGGCAGTGTAGGGCATATACACACACACACACACACACACACGCAAAATGGCAGGTGGACGGGGGGGGGGGGGGGGCTAGAATCTGAACGGCAAACTAGCGGCGAGTTTACTCTCCCATCTGCCCCGCACCATCAAGGGCCCATGCGGGCTCTGCCACACCATAAGAATAGGTTCTCTCTGGAAGCTGTCTGCTAACAGACACACCCACAGCCGGGCCCACATCACATGGTTCCAGAACCCCTCTGCTCCCTCTAAAAATCAAACTCTTTGTATTTTACAGCTTCATCAATAGGATGATTATCGTTTTAGAACCATGAGCAGAGGTAACCCTGGTATATATAAGAAAACCAAACCCGGACCCAGTGGAGGTCTAGTTACAGGAAGAATTCACAGCCCTAATAAACACAGTTCACAGGAAAAAAGAGGCAACGATGTAGCTTGCCAACGTGCAGACAATCCCACTTCCCTGTGAACCGTGCCTTCTTTGTAAATTTTTCTTTCTTTGAAAAGCAGAGTGACAGAGGAAGACATCACTCCCCACACGCTGGTAACAGGACTGGGCTAGGCGGGGGCCAGGACTCCATCCAGATCTCCCGTGTGGGTGGCAGGGAGCCAATCTCCCAGCGCGAGCATCAGCAGCAGGCCAGGCAGAGGCAGGACCTGAACCCAGGCCCTCAGACACAGTGTGCAGATGTCCTGAACAGTGGCTTCACCACTGTGCCAGACGCCCAAAACCAGCCACCCTGCCACCGCCACCGCCACCCTGCCTTTCAAACTTGACAGAGAACTCTCATCTGCTGGTTCACTCCTCAAATGCCCACAATGGCTGGGGCTAGGCCAGGACCTCAGTCCAGGTCTCTCGCATGGGAGGAAGGGGCCCGCCTACTTGAGCCATCATCTGCTGCTTCCCAAGGCCGGCACTGGCAGGAAGCTAGAGTGGGACTCAAACCCAGGCACTGCAATACACGACCAAGTGTCCTAACCACAGGCCTAACATCCCCTCCGCACCCCCGCCCGCTTTGAGGAAAAGAACCCCAGTGTCGCTCCTTTCCTGACTACCTTCAGAACACCACGTGCGTTTGAAGATGTGTTCCGAATGCCTGTGAATCAAACAGGCTGCCCAGCAACCCCCGTGTGGGCAGCGGAGAGGAGCAGACACAGACGGAGCAGGAGTGGCCAGGACTTGGGGCCACTCCAGACCAGTGACGTGTACACACATCGCAGTACTAGTCTGTAGATGACTGAAATTTCCTATAGTAAGTTTAACAAATAATAAAAGACTCTTTTCTACTAACTTCCTCGTTTGCTTTTCGCTTGAGGCCAGCTCCGAAATCCTACAGAACTGGGTGCTTCCCAGAGTTGCAGGGACAACAGTAGCCTGAGCAGGTGACCAACACACGGTGCAGGGTGTCCAGAGGCGGGACAGTCTGCCCATGGCCGACCTACTGCTTGTCACTGCTAACCAGGCCTCTCTCAGGACAGGCTGAGGAAGAAGTAACGCGAGCATATCATGACTGCAGGCAGAGAGGCCCAGCTCGTTCCTGCGACGAGCAGCAGCTGATGGAGCCAGGCTGGCAGGACGACGCAGGTTAGAAGCTTCTGCCACCCGAGGGAGAAGACGCTGGCAGCAGGCTACACACACGGACAAGACTAAGTCTGACTCCACATTCACAGCGCAGGGACTGGGTACCATGACTGTCGACTCGCTAGCATCAGAATGCAAACGCCAGTCTGTGTCCCCAAGACCCCATCTGGACTTTCCCAGGGCTCAAAGATACCGTGTCTTAACAAGTGAGCCACTGTGGGGCAAGGGAAGCATCTCACGAACCTCCCCTGCTGCGTTCGGCTCCCATGGATAGCAGCTCTACAGCGCGCATTCCCGAGCAGCACTGGGTGCCGCCTGCCGAGGCCCTCACCTTGGTCTGTTTCTTCTCGGTGGCGTAGACGATGGAGGTGCAACAGACTTCAGCGATCTTGCGGCCCTGACCGTAGAAGGACCAGCAGCAGATTTCATCCCCAATGACGTCCTTTATGAAGAGCACCCGCCCGTTAAAGCGCAGGGACAGCTTATCAAACAGTTCAATGTTTTTCAACATGTTGTCGTCAGAATTGCTGTAAGAGAGCATTTGACAGGGTGGCAGCAAGCCCACGGTAACTGGGCCCTTCCACACACAAGGCCCTACAGGGTCCGTGCCCTGAACAGCCCATTTCAATCTGACAATGACCCCAAGAGCAGGGCTCTGCAGCTCCACTGCTCAAAGAGGCAAAGCCGGGGTCAGAGTCAGGTAACTGAGGCCAGGTCTGGCCCCCGAGCCTGTGCTCCTCACGAGGCGCCCCGTAAAACCCGAGAGAAAACACAGAAGATGTGGTGCCTCCAGACACAGGGAGAGCGCCAGCTCTCCCCCTACCCCCGCCCCCCAAGGAGCGGAGGAGCACTAGTAGAAACGTCCCCCCTCATCAGTTCATAAATTCTCCCGCACCCTCGGGTTCCTGATTAGCACCCCATGCTCCCAGATCCCCGCAGATACTGCTCCTGGCAAGTATGACGGCGCAGCCACTTAGGGAGTCTGGCAGGCCCCCCAGACTACGCCCCGGGCTATCACGTGACCCGGCCGTGCGCTGCTCAGCGTCTACCCAGGAGAAACGCAGCAAGTGTCCACAAGGAGCCTCGCACGTCAATGTTCACAGCGGCACCACACACAACAGCCAAGGAAGGCATGGAGGCAACTCAAACGTCCATCACACGATGAATGGGTAAACAAAATATGATGGAATATTACTCTGCCGCGGAAAGCAATGTTATCAAGCTGCAGTGTGGATCAATCTGGAAAACATTAGACTACGTGAAGGAAACCAGGCCCAAAAGGCACATGGATTCCATTCACATGAAATGTCCAGGAAAAGCAAATCCGTCGAGACGGAAAGGGGACTAGCGGTTGTCCACAGCTGGAGGTGGGGAGCGGCTGGGGGCAAATGGGGAGTGGTTGCTAATGGGTGCAGGCTTTCTTTGTGGGCGGTGAAACCGTTCTGACTTTAGAGGGGTTGAGGACTGCACAGCTCTGCATACACTACAAGCCCCTGGACTGTGCACTGAGCA